ATAAAGCTTCATTGAATTTATTTTTAAGATCCAGTTATGGAACATCCTTAAGAAGATACATGATCAAGTCCAATCCACTGCTATTGTTGGCAGCTAGAGCTTAATCTCCTCCATAAACTGATAAAGCTCAATCTTAAAAGTAGCTTGTGAGAAGGTTGTTCTAAAGTCTCATCCCAGTGTAAATCTGGTGATGATGGTTGTGTTGCATGTCTGTTACAAACGGCTTATTTTAGTCACTGTTAGGTGGCCTGGCTGTCCTGTATGTCATGCCCTGGTAAATCCATACAGCTTGTTGGGAACGAGCAAGTGAGGGAAAAAATAAAAAAGGACAACTATTTAGAGCCCTGCTTATGTTTGTGCCATTAGTAGCTTAGTAGGAGTAGGGGAAGTCTGGGGAATTCTAATTCTTAACTGACCTTGTATGACATAGGATCACTGAGGCATAGGTTTGCAGTGTCACTATTGTATGATTGGTTATTGCACAGCTTTATTCTAAACATTGTATTTTAGGATTTATTTTAGGATATTTAGCATTATTACATGCTTCATATTCTCAGTGTACAGGTTCTTAAAGCACTAGTTAATAAATAAAACTGGAGGCTTCAGTGGACTTCTTTACTACAGATATTGATGTAATGGATTTACATAATGGCATACAAATTATTAAAGTAATGAATTTTTATACTTTTATAATTAAGGAAATTTTTTAAGTATTTTTTTCTTGGGTTATTTGTTATGTGTTTTTGTCATGAAGACATTCCTATAATGAATTTTGTGTCTTCAAAATGCAAAATCCCAGCGCGTTAATCTTTAGTAAATCAGTAGTTAAGGTAGATAATTTTTAGAGCTACGATGGGACATATTGTGAAATTATGTCTACATGGATTGGCAGAGAATTTTGTCATAGAATTGGGTACAGCAAAAATAAAAATTTCTGAGGTGTAAATATAGTTATTAATTGAAAATAATTCTTAATTTTGAAATATAAATAATGCTGCTGATTTGTGGCAAAAATATATTAAAAAAACCCTGATTTTTTAAAGACATTAGACAAATGTCTGAATATTTCTCTTTATAATATTTAAGCAGAAACAGAAGCAGTGAGTTAGAGATTTATTTGGAAAAAAAGAAGTGCATACTTGATTTGTCACAGTATAACAACTACATATTATTAATTAATAGCAAATTTGGTGGTAAAAGTGGAATATCAAAATAGAGGTTTATTATCTCTCTGCCATTCATGAAGATCTTTTTTCACAACTGAAATGCATTGCTGGCTTCAGATATTGCCAGATAACATGGGAGAATAGCATTAGTTTGTTCATTGCAGTGCCATATAGGACATTACTTTCAGATGTAATCTTTTATCCTTTGTTTTCTAGGTAAACTATATATGTATGTTTTATTTAGGTACAGTTTTCTTAGTGTGTAGAGACTAAGGCCACTATAGTCTCCAGCATATCCTTTCAGATTCTTAAGGTCATGTCTTTGTGGAAAGCAAGGTAGTAGCTTACTGTCATAATGAACAGATATCTGTACTGGAGTGTCCAGAAGATCAACTTTCATATGAAATATAAATAGAAGATAACCATTGATTTATTTTTATTTTTATGATTTTTTGGGGGGTAGGGTGATTGGTGGTGTTTGGTTTTTATTAGTTCTTGACCATTGTAGCACTGAGCTTTAACCACACATTGTGATGTTTGTATCTTAAAGCACCACAGTTTACATCACCACTTCCATTTTTTCCTTCTGGCTATTTTAGGATTTCTGTATCTATGCCTAGTCAATCTGATATGAGCTAAAAGGGGAGTACCTAGTTCCAAAGGGAGAATTGTGAAATGTCTGCAGCACAGGCTTGATTATAGAATATCTCAAATTTGAAGGGGTCTTAAGGATCATTGAGTCCAACTCCCTGTTCCTTGCTAAACCATATGACTAGAAGCATCATTCACAGCTCAGTGAACTCTGAAAGGTTAGTGACATGACAGCTTCCAGATGGAACCCAGTGACCAACCATCCTCTCAGTGAAGAACCTTTTGCTAATGTCTAATCTGAATGTCCTCTGATATAGCATCATACCATTTTCTTTTGTCAGCTCAAAAATGAAACAATTGTTTCTGCATCAAATGAATATGATTTTTTTTTTATCTTCTTTCATTCTTTCTGGAATATTGTAAATAAATTTATTAGGCAATCTATTGTAAGGCTGAATACACCTTGAAGATGTCTCTTCTGGTCTGATCTATCATGGTACATTTTGTTTTCCTTACATTGAGAGCAAAGAACACTTAACTAGAGATACCAACTGGACTTTAGGTTAAATGCATAAACATTTAATAATATTAACCCTAATTACAACAATTTAAGGAATAGAATACTTTGAGATTTTTCATATTTTTATTGTAATAAATAGTGCACAAAGCTTTATTCATCCTACACATAGGTTTTATTATACCTCTATGTCATGGTTTAACCCCAACCAGCAACCAAGTGCCATGCAGCCTCTCGCTTACTCCCCCAACAGCAAGATTTGGGAGAGAATAGGGAGGGTAAAAGGGTGCAAGACTCATGGGTAAAGACAGTTTAATAGGGAAAGCAAAAGCCGTGCACACAAGTAAGCAAAACAAGGAATTCTTTCACTACTTCCTGTGGGCAAGCAGGTGTTCAGACATCTCCAGGAGAGCAGGACCCCATCATGCACATTGGTGACTTGGGAAGACAATCATCACTCCGAATGTCCCTTTCTCCTTCTTCCCCCTCACATTATATACTGAGCACGATGTCATATTGTCTGGAATATCCCCTTGGTCATTTGTGGTCAGCTCTCCCTGCTGCATCTCCTCACAGCTTCCCATGCACTTCCAGTCCCTCTGCCAGCATGGCAGTATAAAAAGCAGAAAAGGCCTCACCTTTGTGTAATCTGTAATGATTATAATCTCTGTATTGTCAACCCTGTGTTCAGCACAAATCTGAGACACAGCCCCATACCAGCCACTGTGAAGAAAATTAAATCTATCCCAGCCAAAACCAGCACACATATAATAGTTTTTCCAGCACTTGGAGATGAATGGTAGAATAGGCAAAAAAATATAACGAACCCATGATGCATTTGCAGCTACTAGTCTTTCATGTCTTTATTTTTCATGTATAATTTAACACAAAACTTTTTAATTTATTTACAGGTAGTTGTAACAGATGTTTTTAAGCAGTTTAATTTTCCACACACTATCTTGAGAAGATTTGAATTGCATCTGTACCTTTGAGCTGAAGATATTACCAGTTTACTGAAAGGATAATACAGTATCCATATTCATTTAGCCCATGCTTCCCTGATGATCCTGAAACTAAATGTGAATCACAGTGTTTGTCTGTCTTGAGAGACTCATTGTTTTGACAGGTTGGTATAGACACTAAGAAACTCAGTTCATATAGATGATGGAACAGCTATAGGCATAACAGAGAAACAAGTTTGTTACTGTTGAACTACTTGTAATTCTTTGATCAAGATTCTTAATGATGCAATGTGCCCTTATGAGAATACAGATTAGCCTGAAAGCAAAGACTTTCCTAAACATGCTAGTGTTAATTTATTTGAAACCATGATTTTGGTGTGTAGCAAGCAGAAATAATGTGGATATGTTTTGTCTAGCAATTTGTAAAATTTTTATACATAGGAGTGGTACATCAGTCATATTTTTATCATTTAGTCATAGGACTTGGATATAGTTGGGGATTTTTTCAGCAGTGTGATTAGAATTGACTGAATTAATCCTATGTTTCTCGTAGAGTTTATCAGACCATGTAATAATGTACACTTCGCATTGTTTGAGTCAAAATCTCAAAGGGCAAGTTATTTGAAAAATTTCAGCAGTACGGTGAGAAGTTCTCTCTCTGTGTTCTTGTGTCTGTATCCATTTATCTGGAAGAGTGTAAAAGCACAAAAAGAATCTGATAATCTTGAAATGCTAAACATAGTGAGTGTCTGGATTTAAATATTTATTGTTTTGTGTGTGTGGTTTGTATTTTTTGGTTTGTTTTTTTTCCCTGGGATGTCATAATTTCTGAGAAAGAGGTTGGAAACCAATAGTATTGCTGCTTTTCTTTATTCCTCTGCTGTGTATGTAGAAATGTAGCTTGCTTATACAATACCCTTAATGGAAACTATGTGTACTGGAGTAGGACAGGTAATGACACTGAGTTGCTCTGTAGAAATGGTAAGTAATTTTCACCACTAACATTAGGTTAATAGTTGGTACTTTCAGCTGTTCTTTTTCTACTTTGCTTTGTTTATTTCTCGATTAAACAATCGGCATTGCAGTTTTTGCATTTATTATAGTACCGATTTTGGAAATCAGCTTGTTAATCCAGTATAGAAAGGCAGAGGTTGTCTGGATTCTGGGTTGCTTAAGAAACTGGGGTTTTTAGATCTTCATAATCTCTGTTGAGGATCTGATAATTGCTGTAATCATGCAGTCAGAAAGATTTGTATGAAAATATCTCCTAAACAGCAGAGCTGATGAAGTGTGCTGCTGCAGTACCGAAATGTGGTGTGAGCAGTACAGCTTTTATTCCTCTTTTTACCTTTTTTTTTCATTGCTATAATGCACTGTGAAATTTAATATGAAACTTGGGAGCATACCAGCAAAGGATGCTGCCTGTGCAAGGAATGAATGGCATCAGATATGTGAAACTCTTCTGAGAGAGAAAAAAGAAAGAGATCCATTTCGATGAATTAGGTAGATTGGGCTTTTTATATTTCCCAGCCAGTGCTGGTGGCTGTAGCTGAGCCTTTCAGGCTCTACTGGCTGCAAACAATGGAGTTGCAGATCTTTTTTTCTTTCTTTTTTCCCCCCTTTTTAAAAAAATGTTAAACCGATGTTTGGCATTTGTGATAGTTTTGGCCCCTCCTACTGTGCCAATTGAAACCACTCCCTACATAACCAAAACAAATCGTTCCCCGTGACTCTGAAGATAATTTACATTTCAATACAAGCTTTTATGCACTGAACATTTCATACAGACATTTCATTTGAAAAAAGAAAGTAATTTTTAGGAGACAGATAAGAATTACTCAAACAGCACCTCGTTTTCAGAGCTCAGAAACACAGCAAAATCTAGAGCTTGAAGCACTAGTCTGCTTTAATTTAAAATATGTGAATATGTAATCTATTTATTGTTTTATTTTTGATTTCTGTTTTCCAGTAGAAAATCCAAGACACAGAGCATTTAAATTGCTGCTAAAAGTATTTCAGATTTATGATTTTAAAGCTTATTAATGTAAATTCATATCAGAGTTCAGATCTGTTCTTTGAATAGGTTGCTGTAGTGTTGAGTAAATTTTAGCACAGAACACATTGGACTTATATGTGTTCAGGTTCTGTATTTTTTATTTCAACTGTACCTTCTGTCATGGCTTGGATGACTTATATTTCTCACTGGTTTGATGAAGATGATTGGTATGAAGGACAACGACGAGTAAGAATTGTTTAAATTAAAATTTTCTCTTTTACTGCTTTTATATTTTTCTTCTTTAAGCTGCTGTTTATTATATCGATAGTATCAAAAAATAATATTTCCGTTGTGGTACTCGCAAGGGATTTTTAGTAGTTTTAATGAGGTCTTGAATCCTGGGTAAAGCACATCCAAAATGAGATTTTTGAAAATTAATGTTGCTAGCTAGATAAAAGGTACTGGAAGTTTGATGGCCACCTACTTGCATTTTCAGGTTGTATAATTTAATGAGTAATTATTTAATATGCAATGAGATGGAAATCAAACATTTAATTTTATTGTATTAGAGGAATTAATATAGCATGCATGGAGTAAACTAAAGTAGTTATAAGCAGTAATTGAGTAAAACAAAAATATTTGGGAGATATTAAATGTGTCTAGTTGTACCTTGGATAGCTGTACGTTTTTGTTAACATGTTTCTGAGGAGGGGGAGTTGTTACTATAGCAACATTTGCAGGATATCTTTGATTTTTTTTTTTTTAATGTTTATTAACTGCATGCCTTAGGCAAGCTTAGTCTGCAGCTGCTTTCATAGGTTTATGGTAGGAAGTGAATATAAGTCTCATATATTTCACTGTGTTAAGCTCCTTTATGGAACCATTATTTCTGTGATTTCTTTTTCTTGTTTCCATACAATATCGTCAGCTAACAAATTGAATGCAGGAGGTGCTACTGAAACATAAGCAGCTGCTTTCATTATATTATTGTGTATTACTTGATAATGCCAGTTGTATGCTCGTAAGTATAAAAAACCAGCAGATTTTAATACTGTTTCACTGTTCTCTTTTTATATATCACTCGTGATGTGAATGTTTCAGATGTGGAGTTAATAGCTGTCATCAGAGATTCAGGTGTGAGATGTGCCAAGAGGTAACTTTGTCTGACATCAGAACTACCTTGGCAATTTGTATACAGAAAAGCAATCTTCTGGTGATTGGAGTAGTTCCGAATTGGAAGATGAGAACAAAATCTTATAGAAACTCTTAGATGCTTCATAGTGAGATCAGACATGGTTGTATATATCTCTTTGTATTACACACAGTATCTGCAAACTAGATTTCTGATACCATATGATTAACCAATACTCTGTAGGTGATGCTAGATGTGTTTTGTATTGATTAGGTGTGTAGTTTAGCATTGCTGATGATGTATTGTTAGAACTGTTAGCATTTCTGCATGCTTTGTTTTGAACCCAAGTGTTGGTCTTTAGAATATTTTGTTAAAGTTGCACAATAAAGGATATTCTAGTTAAATGTACAAGTAGTGTAGTCAAGACAGTCAAAAACACTCCTCTGTAAGGCTTGTTCTAAGTTATGGTTTTTTAATGTTGTTTATGTTAGATTTTCTAAGCAGGGTATCTATCTTGGATTAATGTATTTGGGTTTTATTTCAAATGTTTGTTTCTGTGAAATATATTTCAAATGTTTGTTTCTCAAACTTCAGAGAAAGGTCCACAACTACTTCCCTTGTGAAGCCAAGAGATCCTGTGGTTAAAGAAATTCTGGTAGTGATTTGGGTCCAAGTTTATTGTGGAGGTTTAAAATGGCTGTGAACACTAGTAGAACACTTGTTCATTTAAAATGAGCTTTTAAATCAAAGTATTCTTTTCCTAGTCATTGTCTGGATAACGGAATGCACACATTTTGAACACTTGCTAGGTTACCATAGGCTAGGAAATGTCATCTGCAATTCTGGTTGCAAGAGTCTAGCCAAGGCTTCTGGTGTTTTTGAAGAATCTTGTTGAAGTTCAAAGCTTTGTCCAAGGCACCCTCTTCCTGCCTCTGGTTAATCTTCTGATTCTCTGGGAGCTGTAGATGGCCTGTGTGCCATGAATTGTATACAAAAGTGGAAAAAACTTTCCCAGTTTTTGCAGGGAAGTGTACAAATTGTCTGTACTGCTTAAGGGCAAACTAGCAACCAATCTGGTGCTTTAGCAAGTAGTAGACTACTTTGGTTAAATTCTGCTGGAGAGTATGTCAGGCTGCATTTCTGTGTCGAGCAGTACATGTGTAAACCTATATAATTATTCTACATTGTTTTACATTGTGACTGTCATTATTAATATAGTCAGACTTAGCTCATCTTTTGCCCAGAAGCAGTTTCTTGAAGTAGTGTGTATCATCTCAATCAGACTATGTAGGGACCTACACTAGTAACTGCAGTTGGGTAGATCACATCAAGAACTGAAAATTCCTTACCATTTTGCAGCATTCCAAAGTAGGAAGAATTTTTTTTATTTTGTCAAAATTTTCACAGTATAAGTTTTCTATTAGCTTTTAAGCTTCATATATACCAGAATATTTCCAGTTCATTATTTCATGGGTCTGGACAAATTATGAGAATTTAATTTCTTAACATGGCTGTAATGTGCTTGGTGGAAGAATTATTTATGTTTCATTATGAATATGTTATTAATGAATTAATTATGTTTATGTTATTACATGAGATTCAATGCTATTGAGGCAGGCATTGTCAGGCAGTTGTTTACTGCTGTGTCTTGCAGATATGCCAAGATTTCTTGGTAGCCTTGAAGAACTTCATGGTTTTAGCAAACTTAAATGATTTTGCTTCAAACTGGTCCCATCTGACATGGTAATGAATTTGAAACACTGTGGTTCCTAGGTCACATTTTCATCCTCAATGGATTTTCCCTCAAAGATGGGTAAATATACCCAATATCTTAGGGAGACATCACTTTGGTATCACTAAAGATCTTTTTGATTATTACATTATCGTTGATATGCTGACAAAAATATTGTTACATGAGGACAGTAGTTACAGGAGCATCAGCATGCTTTCCACATAAGAAAAGATGCAAACTTAATGGGAAGACAGTGACAATAGAATGAACAGAAGCAGAGGACGCTGGCACTTCACTGTATATAGCTGTTAAGAAACTAGGGGTTTGTATACACAGAAGCATATTGATTAATATGAGGCTATTGTATATCCACATTTGTATGCGTGCTGTACTGCATGGGGACTCATTTGGACAGGTCATACACCACATGGACCATAATCAAAGCATATGTAAGCGTCTGTTATTGGTTGTGTTTGATGGTTATAAAGTTATGGATACTTAAAACATGCAAGCACATGTATTGATAATGGAAGAGTGTTAAGTGATGGGTTTAAAGAGCTGTCATTATTCTACAAGTGTCATTGTAGTACAGCTGGGAAATACAACAAGCAATGAAGTACACTGAGTAGCTGAAGCAGAGAAGCAGGAGTTAGGTTAAAATTAAAATGGTGCCTTTTAAAGAGCTGCAGTTGCCAGGCTACTGACACTGCCGTTTTGTGTGTGGTGCGACACAATGCTCAGTCTTTTCTCCTGTATCCTGTAGTAACTGCATTATTCTGTGAACATCAAGGTTTAGTTCCTTCATCTGTCAAGTAAAGTGATTTCGTTCTACAACCAGAATAATATTTTCCATTTTTGGAAGCAGCAAGGTATTGGAATGAACATGGAAATGCTAAAGTGGTTTACAAAAAATGACACCTATGCTAAGGTAGGGATTATTAGGCATTTATCTTCAAACTGTTAATATAAAGCCGTGGCTCTATATATAGTCCATTCAGTTGTTATTTTTCAATAATATTTATTATATACAAAATTTAAGTTTATTGTGGTTGGTTGTTTTTTTCTTTTTTTTTCTATATTTAGCAACAGGAGAGGGCTTAGAGTGTTCCTGCTTCTGCCAATTGAAAAGAAAGGTTTTTGTTGTCCTCCCTCTTTATTTCATCTCCTTGGAAACTGTGGGCATCATCTGATAGCTTTCCCAGTGTGGTATACATTTTTTACATGCACAGGGTTTTTTTCAGTGTATATTTAGAGTTCAGTATAATTACTTGTACATCTCTTATTTCAAAATAAAATGCTTTTTTAGAAAGTATGAAAAATGTATAAAAATGTACCATGTGTGAAATCATACCTATATATATTCAGTTATGCTGCCCTTTTTTGTCTTTTTACTCAGGCTGTTCTGATGAATGCTGCTTTCTCCCTTATACTATAAGTATGCTTAACAGAAATCTATAATGTCCGAAAAGATCTGCAGGAAACTGCTTTAATGCATGATACTTACAGGAGACTAAGTTAGTATGCCATACAACTGTCATTTCTTCTAGATACTATTGTACTGAATTTCAAAGCAATTTCTTCCCTTTGTAAAATGGTATATAGCTCATTACAAGGAGCAGGAAATAATAACAAGTTTAAAACAACAAATATTAGTAAATAAAGTGTACATTCCTTTCTGTAATACAGCTCAGAATATTTTATGCATGTAACTTCTTTATATATACCTGAATAGGAAAAATCTAATTGAAAATCAAATTTTAAGAACACTTATTAAGCACAAATTCTTAAATCAGTGAAAGAATGGTATTGTACAGAGCAGCATTTTTCATCTAAAATTCAAAAATTTCATCTATTAACAGGATTTTTTAAATACAGATTACTGCAGAATCCTACAAGACAAATGTATTGTTACTCTGAAATAAACACTTGTTGAATTCTGTTTTAGCATCTGTAAGATTCTTGTCTTTCAACATCATAGTCTTAGCTCTTTAACCTAAAGAAGTCATCCTACATGTAATGTTTTTCTACATAATGTCCCCCCAGTCCATTAATCTGTTCACAGCATAAATGTGGCCCCAAATGAGACATTCTGTTACTAAGTAACATGTTGATATTATCATGAATCAAATGTGGGCTAGGTAGATAATTGGTCTGGCCCAGCAAGGTGTTTTTTACGTTTTTATGTTAAAAACAGTTGTCTCACTCAGAGCAAGATGGTAGTATGAAATTTGTTTTGGATGTTGAAGGCATAGTTTGCTGTACAGTAATGTTACACTGGGCTTTGCCTTTGTTTTTTCACAGCTTACTTCAACTTTTTTGTTAAACAGTAATTATTAAGAAAATTTAGAAAGCTTCCTATAAAGGATGATGATAATATGTACTGCATAGTTCTATGCAAGTGGCTTGAAGACCTTTGTACACATGTTGCTTTAACTTAAAACTATTAGCATATGGTTTATTTTGTCTGGCTGTCAGTGGGAGATGAACGGGAGAGCAGAGAGGGCATTAAACTGTAATATAGAAAGTATTGAACCAGAATGCAGAAGAAAATGGGAATGATGAACAGTTTCAGCTAGTACACATCAAGAACTATTCAAGTTTTCATTCGCTGCTTCCCTTCCCCCGCCACTTCTTTTTCCTTCCAAATGGATTGTTGTGAATGGTATTCAATACCCTTTCTTCTGTAGCACTGTAGCCTCTAAACATTTGCTTGACTTTATTTTGAATACATTCTTTTGTATCTCAAGCTAGTTATATTTTTAAGGTAGATATTATGGGAACAAAGAAGTATTATTCTCTTCTTTAAAATTCTGTCTTCTTGTAGTCTAATGAATTTCTGTTTTAAAGGCAAAAATGTCACAGGTTAAACAAGTGGGACTTTTAGCTGCTGGATGTCAGCCATGGAACAAGGATATATGTGCTGCTAGTGGGGATAGATTTGCCTACTGTGCTACCCTTGCTATTTATATTTATCAGGTAAGATTATCCTTGTTTATCAGAATAGTTATGTTTTTACATTGTTGTTGATCTCACTTTGAACCCTTTTAATAAATGTTTCTGCAATTCTTTTGAAGGTATGGTAGGTGCTTAGAAGATGTCTATGTAAAGCTCAGTCTTCCATTCAAGATAGCCCTAAAGTTGTATATGTCAAGAGTTAGTTTTAAAAGCTAGGCTCACAATCCAGCAAAAACTTGAGATGAATGAAGTGCAGCAACAGAAAAATGTGTTCTGAGAGAGAAATGAAGCAATTTGAAGCTGTAGTATAAAAACAGTACTGTGCACAGTGGATCAAACTACTTCAAACTTGTGGATTCCAGAGTTGCGGCCCACCTTTATTTGATTTGGAACTTAAACTGCTCAGGATTGTGGTCTTCTGAAGTCTGTGGTTACTAAAAAATAGAAATGCTGTGATGTGGAATTTTCAGAATGAGAAATATGTAAGGAAATAAAGGATACACTTACTTTAACTTCAAGAGTTATACCGCTTGTAGGATTAAAATAAAAAAAATTTCCTGTGTGATGTTTGGGCATGTGATTTTTTTTTTCTCTTTTTAGTTTTTAACTGTATGAAAAAATGAGTATGATTAAAAAATGAGAAGGATTTCAAACTCGTTTTCGTATTCTATCCTGTTTAACTCTTTGGAGATTACTAAATGGTTGTTACCATGCCTATAAATAAAGCATTTTAGGATTGTTTGAATAAAGTTATTAATGAAATTTAATAGTTTATAAGAGACAAGAGAATAGACTATTAATACCAATTGAGCTAATTGGATATTTGACAACTTTTCTATCAAATATATGAGAATTTAATTTATTCAGATGTGAGGCGCTGACAATTGTTAAATCCACTATAAGTTCATCTGTAAGTCTAATACTGTTATATGAACTAATCTCCAACCCAATAGTACGTAAAGTGAGTTTACAAAAAATGTATGTCTAAAATGCCTTTTATTATTTGTTTAGCTGGATCATCGATACAATGAGTTCAAGCTCCATGCAATTATGTCTGAGCATAAGAAGACAATCACAGCCATATCCTGGTGTCCCCACAACCCTGACGTGTTTGCAAGTGCCAGTGCAGATAGTTTAGTGATTATTTGGAATGTGAATGAACAGAAAGTTGTGGCCAAGCTGGACAATACAAAAGGTATTTCAGACAAGGAGATATTTGATCCATACAGCTTTTTAATCCATGGTTATGAGAAATACTTGATACAGTGAAAACTCTGAGCAGTTGTTAGGCCAGAGGTTTAACAATTGCCCAAAACAATATTCTTGACAGATTTGTTGCAATCAATTTTAGAAAGTAATGATAGTGTGAATGAATTGCTGTGAACCATCTTGTAAGTGGTAAAGAAAGAGGTTATTCTTTTTTTCTAAAGTACTTGAACAATTCAAGAATTAACTTTGTTAGTGATTTCTTATTGAGCAGGAAAAGAAACCCAGCACAGTATTTTCATCTGTATAAAAGGATAAATAATTACATTTTTAAACTTGTGTGTTTTCATGATAACTTTACCTAAGGGAAAGCAAATAAAATGTAGTCTTAACAGATTCAAGTATAAATGATAGTGAATTTGAAAAACAGCTTTTGTTTAAATACCCTAAAACTTGTCTACCTGAATCTTCTCTCAGGACTTGAAACTGCTGATTTGGACATTGTGTTACAGGTCTAGGGGGTTAAACATCTGTGTCTGCAATTACCTCTCTCTACCCAGCTCTGATTTATTCCCTTTAGTCAAAACCAGGACCTGTATTTCTGTTCTTACAGTCAATTTCATCAGGTGTTCTTGACTCTTACATTTGCATTCTTGGAAAATGAGTGCAACCTAAGAACAGTCAGAATTTCAGGATCTAGTAACCCATTTTGGGACTCCCTACTCTGTTCTCTCCTGAGCGTTTTAGGATACCTCTGAAAACCTTGTGCATCTTGCATATCCTGCAAAAGGAAAACCCAGACTGATTTCATCTATTCTAAAAGAAATATTGTATCAGTTTATGCATTAATATAAAAGCAGATACTTATTTTTCAATACATTGCTTGTTTAAAAATCTACTTCAGCCAATGACTACACATGAAAGAAGTGTTATTATTATTATTTCAGTCTTTTTAAAAACTAATTTACTTTTAGGATAATATATTTAAACTTTCTATTAATGCCTCTTTTACACTCTTCGACGTTGCCATATGAAAATATCTAAATACAATTTTAAATTTTAAGCTTGAGGAGTTTTTCTTATCATCATTTATTCCTTCAGGCACACATTTTTAAGCTATGGAGATAATGAGGGTTGGAGATGTTAAGGTCAAAATTTCTAAACTGGAATGCCTACAGTTAGGTGTAAGGCAACTGAATTAGAACTGTCACATATCCAGAAGGAAGCTATCAAGAGTTCCCTTAGATTACAGAGCTGGTTTTCCAATTTTTTCACAAATATCTGTCTCTGTTATATTTATCTCTGAATTTCATTGCAAAAATAGGCATTTTGAGGTTCTCAATATTTTACTAGCTTAGTAGCAAATAGCTTACAGTAAAACGTAATGGTGAATGGGATTCCAAATAAATGAAAGTAGTTTACAGGATCAGGCTTATCCTCTTTCATAAGTGTGATTCTCTTTAACACTAATGAAGTACAGATACCATAAAATACAGTCCATCAAAGTAGTATTAAAGTAATTTGGGAAATAATTTTACTTCGTGCCTATAGAAATGTGTAATTTACTTTTATAGCATGAGATGTTCATACCATTGTCTAAATTTCAGTCTAGTAATTTTTATGTAGAACAATTATTTCTACAATTTCTCAAGAAAATTGCTGATTCTGCGTTAAGGAATACTATACTGAATTTCATTATCCTGGTTCTTATCAGGTTTACCTGTATGTTTCAGGAATTCCTTCATCACTTAGCTGGTGTTGGAATGCAGGTGATGCAGTTGCATTTGTGTCCCATAGAGGGCCGTTGTACATTTGGACTGTCTCAGGACCTGACAGCGGGGTAACTGTACATAGAGAAGCACATAGTTTCTTGTCAGATATCAGTCTGTTTAGATGGCATCCAAAGAAAAAAGGAAAAGTGGTGTTTGGACATACTGATGGAAGCCTATCTATTTTTCAGCCAGGTAAAAACTGATATGGTAAAATATTTATTTTATATATATATATATATTGCTTGTTTCTGTATATGTGTGTAATTCTGAACCTCTTTAATAAATATTTTATAATGTGGGTACATACATAGTATTCCTACTCCTCCCATATCACAAAAATATGTTTTCTTAGTTATACAATGCAGAGCATTTTCTTTACATCTCCTTCATTACATTCTTGTAATTAAGCCAATGACATTGAAGCCATCATAATGATTTTGAAAGGATGCAGACCAGTATTAGTTTTCTTTTAACTTGCTTTCTTTATACTACTAGAAAAAGACAAAGAATTTGTTTGGGTGAAAACATAGATGTGTTTGAGAATAGATCATGAAAATTTTGGTGAACAGATAAATTCATTAAAATATGTTTCAAAACTAGGTAATACTGCAAAATAGATTGTAACAGAATAATAAAATAGAAGTACCATTACTGTGATTACACTTTAAATGTAAATTCCTTTAATATGTGTCTTAACATTCAGATATAATTGAAAACATAGGCTTATCCAAGTTAACTGTTTTATTAACTGTGGGTTTCTAGTTTACAGTTTATAGTCAAAATTTGTCTGACTTTTTTAACTGGTGGTTTCTAAAAAGTAACAATACGCTGAAGAAAGTGAAATCAGTAGGGTGAATATAGGCCTTCTGTTTAAAAAAAAGAAAGTGGAGAGGCAGTCATGGGTGACACAAAAAATTGGTACTTTAACAGTAAAGAATAGAGCACTAACTTTTTTGCTTTGAGATTGAAATTCAGCCCTCATCTACCTCATGTAAAATGTGTTGTCGTTGGATCAGAACTTAGTTTGTCACCAAGTGAAATAAATTTAACAAAATTCCTATTCCTTACTTTTAAAGGTTTCAATCTTTTTGTAGATATCCTACAAAATGCTATTGTGAGAGAACCTGAACATCCACAAGTTCTGGTTGATCGCTTCAAAGTTCAGTGTGATTGACTCGCTGAAGGGTCTAGTATTTCTATTTTAGTGTGACTCATTGCTGCATAATTAGGAGACTACACTTTTTTAATTATTGTTACCTACTTAGGTTTTTCTCTCATGGCTGTATTTTCTTTTTTATTAACTCTAGACTATCCATTAACGTAGCAGAACATTTAGTGCAAAGAAAAAATATGCAACAATTAGTACCTAATTTTTAGAGGAGTACAATGCGGTCATATAGAACCAAATATTCTGTACTACTTTACCTTTCATTTGTTCTCAAAATAAGCCCAGCTTGTTTAAATGACCTGTGACTCAGCTGCATGATCTATAGTGCTGATATCTTCTCTTAACAAAAATTAAAATTTAACAGTTAGGGTTTTTAGGAGGGTTCCTTTTGGATTCTTTTGTGAAGCACAGGTAAAACTAAATAACTCCTAGATATTCATACTCTCTCCCAGCAGTTGATTGTGCTTTTTTGAGACTGAAGTGTTTGAACATGGCTGGCTTTGATCTAAAGCACTTTTTGCTTTTAGTTCTTCTATAGCTAACTGAAAAATGACAGTTCTGCTTTGTCGTCAGTTCTTGTTTTTCATTTCAGTGTTGTTTTCAGTCAACCAAAAAGTTGAACTGAAGTGTAAGGAGAGAATATTGTTTAAAAAAGTGAGAGTCCTAAAATTTTTGGCAAATTAAAGCAGTTATCTGATCATATTTCTGATATTATTCCCAAGGCTTCAGAAAACCAAAGAAAAAAAGTGGAACAGAGAAATTGGTTTGTGGTGTTAGTTGTTGTGCAATCTTAAATTATTTTCCCCATTTCTGGTAACTGATTTTAAAAAGTTACCTGATACAGAATGTGCACCAACAACATTTTCCCTAGAAAATCATGGTGAGAGCTGTTTTAGTATTCAGAATGTTCCCTAGTGAACAAAAGCTTTTCAGCTTTTATTTAGCCTGTATCAGAATAGGCTTTGTTCTACATCAATTATTAAGGAATATTGGTAGGTCCTGACAGTTATCATAATATGAAAAATTAATTGTAGTCTCCAGTACCAAAATTGAAAATTAGATAGAAGCTGAATAATGGAAGATGCCAATCCCTTATTTATAGAAAAGGGGTACAAAATTAGTTTGTTTTTTTTTTTAGTACAAGATCACAACTTCAAAAATACAGCTCTATTTCATTTGGACTGGACACAGGACTAAGATCCATCTCTTTGTAAAAATAAAAAGTGGGAAATAAATATGTTAAAAAAGTATGGTTCTTGATAGTATAGATCATCAAGTGAAAGATGTCTTCTTTTTTGCAGGTGTCAAATTGAGATACTTAATGGCCTGTTTTGGCTACAGAATCTATAAATGCTTCATAATTGCACACATAGTTTTGTGGAAGAAAAAATCTAAAGGCAGTTGTTTATAAAAACTTTTTTGACTGCCACAGTTTTGTTCTAGTTCATACTACCTTTATTTTGCCTGTATTTGCTGTAGTGTGCAGATTTACTTACACTCAAATGACTGTATTTCCTTTACTCCTGGAAATTGTTAGAACAATGTATATAATTTACCATACTTTCTTATAAAATTATGTTAATAAGCCTGACAGCTGTTTCTGTTTTCTGCTTTATTAAAAATAAAGTTGGATCGAATGGAACCAGAACTGCTTTAAGTCAAATACTGCAAAGCCAGCTTCATTAATTTTGCTGGTACAGCCGGTAGAGCAAGATAGTGAAAATTTCAGGGAGAGATAAAGAATTATGTTTGTGAACCTTGTAACTATTGAAAGGATATGCTTAATTTCATTTTTAAATAATCTGTTTTCTTGTGCACTTAAAGGTTCTAAAAATCAGAAACATGTCTTAAGACCAGAGTCTCTTGAAGGAACAGATGAAGAGGACCCAGTTACAGCACTGGAGTGGGACCCTTTGTCAACTGACTACCTTCTTGTTGCTAATTTACATAATGGTATTCGACTAGTTGATTCTGAATCTCTGTCCTGTATCACAACTTTTAGTTTTCCCAGTGCAGCAGCATCTGTTCAGTGTTTAGCCTGGGTTTCCAGTGCACCTGGAATGTTTATAACTGGAGGTAAGACTTTTATTTCCTGACTTATACAAAAGTAATAAATACAGGACTGAATCTTCAAAATTGATACTCCAAGTGTGATCTTTTTTTTTCTTAACATTTCTACAAATGAAAGCATGCAAGACACCAATATAAAACTAGAAAATAATAGAAAACTACACTGAGCAGTTTTCACTTGTTTTAAATTTATTGGGTACATAAGCAAGTGACTTTCTGCTTTTTTTAATACTAAATAATACTTTTCTCATGCACACTTTTGCAACAAATATATGAATTACTTTGGGAATAGGAATAAAAATGTGTTATACTAATGGATGTCACTGAAGATTTATAAATTAAGAAAAAAAGAAAAGAATCTATTTGTTTTCTACACCATAGACCTTACTGCTCAAGTTGAACTAATGAATAAGGAAACTGAAACAGAGAGAATATTTTATGAAAAAGGTTCCATAAAATTTATCTATGTTTAAATAGCTAATATTAATAATTATTGTTGTTAATGTGATATTGCCACAGAGGTAAATGGAAGATAAATAGAATATTACCATGGAGGTTCCACTAGATGGTCTCCACAGGTCCCTTTCAACCCTAATTATTCTGTGATTCTATAGAGATGACAGTATCTGCTTATAAAATTCTTCTTAGGATTTGAAGTTTAATTCATTGTTGCATTTTTGCATAAATCAATCCTTAAACCACATACCTCTGTGTTCTGTTTTGGTTTTTTGTTTTGTTTTTTTTTTAAACTTCAGATTCTCAGGTTGGTGTGTTACGTGTTTGGAATGTTTCACGTACAACACCTATAGATAATTTTAAATTGAAGCAAACGGGTTTCCATGGTTTGCATGTGCTAAGTTCTCCTCCAAAGAAAAAGTGTAAGTGTAATTTTGATTGTTATTCATTGTAATGGCTGCCAGTTAAGAAAATCTTGTTTACGAGTCTTGTTATGTCCAAGTCAATCCTTAAGTCTGGACAGCTCTGTAGTTCTTAATTAAACCAAGTACCCTCTGCTGCTGGTGGACTAGACAAATGCATAAAGGATCAAACACTTTATAAGATCCTTCTTTAGCAGGCCAGGCTTCATACAGGAATTCTCCATTTCTTTATTTTTAAATCTCATTGGAATACAAAGCATTTTACTCTTTATAATTGTTACTTATTATTGAAATAAGAAATAATCTTCTCTATTTCTGTCTTTTGCTTTATTTTGTTAAGCACGTTCATCACAGTATCCTACTAAAAATCATCATACATCTTCAACAAGTGAGGCTGTTCCTCCTCCAACTTTAACCCAAAACCAAGCATTTTCTCTTCCTCCTGGTCACACCGTCTGTTGTTTTATGGATGGTGGAGTGGGGCTTTACGACATGGGAGCCAAAAAGTGGGATTTCCTTAGAGATTTGGTATGGTTCATCTGTCTTTGAAATGAGAGTTTATTTGGCTTACACACTTTCTTCTAACAGGAAAAAAATGGGGAATGAAGTCTTCACAGCAGTTTCTATCAAAAAGACTCTAAATTTCTAGGAAACAAATGACAGTTCTGAAGTTGAAAATAGTTCTTTATTGCAAAGGACTGAATCCTGTTGGCAGTATTCTGGCAGTTTGTTTTCATCCAGAAATAAAGATTTAAGGACTTGTGGGGTTTTTTGTGGTTTGGGGTTTTTTTTAACTAAAATTTTAATTTGATGGCCTTCTCAGAAGGGCTGGAGGGTTTTCTATAATTCAGAAAAAGGATTCTAGTCAAATCAGAGTGATATATGGTGAGTTCATTCAGTTTAAAATTACAAAGACTGAATTATGAAATTTTTGTTGAAGCTGAAATTCAGAATTGGGTTTATCCCATATTAGACGAACCTCTTCTTCACAGGGCGTTTGGTTATTCTTAAGGATTTGTCTCTTTTCCTCTTTACAAGTTCCCTTTTCATTTGGAAAAAAACCCAACAATTTTCAGATGTAATCCTGTATGTGTTTGAATAGAGGCTACTGGCTGCTGTTATTTTTCCATTTTTAATGGGTTTGGTCCTGTAAAGCAACTGAGGCTTAAAAAAAATTCTTGCGTATTAATCATGTTTCATATATTTGCCAACTTAAATTCTACAAGTGCATGTCTTAGAAAACAAGCAACTGACATGTGGAGTTTCTAATGGATTGAAATTTAAACTACGATAGACCATAGACTGTATCTAGAAAGACAGAAAATTCAGTGGGACACTAGACAACTTGTAGAACATGTTTAACGTACAGAGCTTTATTTGGCAGTCACATAGTTTATAACAAAAGGGCAACATTAATTCTGTTTTAAAAAATTAACTATTTTTTCTTTTTTTGCTTTGTTTTTTTTTTTTTTTACTCTGTTTTTTAGCAACTCAGTTCCAACAGAAATTGTTAACAAATTTCTGGCATTGTGTGCCCTGTTGTTTCAGGAAATAATTTTTCTGTCTTTAATAATGATCTCTGAAAGAGAGTACTGTTATAGTCTAAGCTATTTTATGACTTTTAATTTTGACTGATAAGCCATAATATGCAGGATTTTTGGAACTCTTAATTGACCTGACAGGTCAATTAAATACAGTGTATTTTAGAGTTTGATCTAGAGTTGGTCTTACTAAAAAATCAAATGTAATAAAAATGGATTAAATATTTGTTTCATTTAAGGGACATGTTGAGACCATCTTTGATTGCAAATTCAAACCTGATAACCCTGATCTTCTTGCTACAGCTTCATTTGATGGCACAATAAAAGTTTGGGACATTAATACTTTATCAGCGGTTTATACATCTCCTGGTAATGAGGGGGTTATTTATTCCATTTCTTGGGCTCCAGGTAAGAATATTTTGCTTTATGTCTGAATGTTCTTTGAATTAGCATTGACTGTAGAATTTGTCATATAAAAGTATTTGTTTTAGATAGAAGGGTATCTTATAAGGGTTAAACAAAACTAAATTATATATGAAACCAGTAGAATTCAATGCTTCAGACCTTTCTGAGGCTTTACCTTATGAGTAATGATCCCAGTATTTCTCAGTCAGAAAGGAGGAAGAAAAATCTCTAGAGCCTTTCTAACATTGCATTACACAAACATCGAAAAGACTTTCTTTGCATGGGAAGCAGCTACTTAAAGTTCATATTATATTTTGTGCTAAAAAGTGGAACATACATATTTAGTTCTTTCTCTTCCTTCTTTGTGTAGGATTCTAATCATCGAAGAGCTCTGCTTTTACCTAATTAGAATAGGAAGTGCCTTTTCTGCAAGGCATCTACTTTTTCTTAGAGAAATCACTGAAGTCAGTGGAAAATTTTCTTTTCAAAACTGTGCTGCAACACTCTTCAGTGTACCTGGGAATATACTACTAATAGTTACTAATGTCAATAGTTAATGATAGGTTGACTTTCTTGTGTTCTATTTCACTGGACAGGAGATGTGCTTTTTAAAAAATCTAAGTAATTCATCTCACTGCTGTTCTCTCCTGGGCTTTTAAACTCTAAGAAATAATACCTGACAGGAAAAGAAATATTGTGATGGGAAGCTTAATGTAGTCTGCATATGTGAAATGAATTTGCACTTTTTTCTTTTCAGAGAGTGTCTTACAGATAATTTGTCTTGCTATATGTAAATTATGGCTGTATGAAATATGGTGTTTATGTTTGGTTATTTTGTTTTGAAGTTTAAATTCAGTTTGTAGTAGTATCTCAAACTGAGGGAATAGTTTGTTCACTGAAGGGGGGCTGGTTTTCTTAAAACCCAAAAAACAAAACCAAAAAAACCCCAAAACAAAATTAAAAAACCCCACAAAGCTAATTGGAAGCATGTGCTTTGAATCCATTCCTTACCAACCTGTCCAAAAGCTCATGTCCCTCCTGGCCAGAGCTTTTGCTGCTTCTTTCACCTCCCTTACTCTTAGACATTTCCTCTCTGCCTTGTACTTTATCCCTAATATATAATCCAGTACATATCACCATTTGTATTTGGTCTCAGAAGGTCTTTGGAAAAAGTGATTACTCTTTTTTCTTTTTTTTCCCCTTTTCTCATCCTCCTGCCTGAATCTCTTCCCATTTTATATATTTACCATGCTATGCTCCTGCATAGATTGTCTTTTCTGCCTCCGAAGCTTGGAATAAAATAACAGTCAAAACTTTCCTATAAATGTGCCATTTATGAAACGTATAGCTATATTGGGATAGAGAGTCACTGTGGTGAGGAGAATTTGATGGCTTTTAGATTAGGCCTGAATTCCGTTTTCAGGTTCTCACTGTGGAGTTACGTATTCAGATTTTCCACCCTGTAGAGTGTAGTTACAGATTCAGGTACATTCTTAGGGGGTTGCATGCTGCAGTGGTGCAAGATTAAGGAAACAAACTATTGTTAGATGTTCTGTCACATTTTTATGATTTATCTTAGTACATAGGGAAGTACATCTTCCTTTAAAGGAAAGTGTTCTAGTTGCTCCAACTTTAAGGTTGAAACATTGAGGTTGTATCTCTTCTAGTTTGAGTCATATGCATCATGGTCACTATGTTTTTAAGAGCAAGACTTTCAGCAGGCATTGAGAATACTTTTTACAGCAATACAACTTCTCTTTTGCCTTTCCTCAAAACAGGAATGTAAAAAACAGGTCAGGCTTTTTCTGAAATTGTTGTTTGTGACTTAGTAGCAAATGCTGACCTTAAACTATGGAGAATTCATGTTTATGTGCCATTGATGTCTCCTGTTGATATTTCATTTCTTCAATTTAAAGTATAAACACAAACAATATTTGATCTTATAATTATCGTGACACTTTACAAATATCTCTCTTTAAAGGAGATCTGAACTGCATAGCAGGGGCAACATCCAGAAATGGTGCCTTCATCTGGGATGTTCGAAAAGGCAAAATGATAACCAGATTCAGTGAGGTAAGATGAGATTATTCTTTTTGTCTCTATAAAATGTAAATTAGTCATATCCTCTAGTGTCAATAAATAGGTGGATCAAAGTTTATATGTTTTTTAAAGGTGCTAGAATATAAAAATCTATAGAATTACGTGGGTGCCAGTTTACCTGTGTGGCAGAAGTATTTTATTCCCTCAGACTGGATTTGTGACATGAGAACGATGAAGCACCACATGATCTCCGTTATATTAAAATTGGTCCTGTAGGGATACACAGCAAAAACAATGCTGATTCCTTCTTAAATGTGTCAATGTATATGGACATATAGACTTGGCATAAAAATGCAAATTGTGTTCTGTATTTTTAAACATAAGGCTTTCAGTCCCTAAGTCTAGATCAATAAAGCTCCATTTTCCAGCACACTAAACAGTATGCCTCATTTAGAATCTTGCCTTGTATTACCTGAAATCTATCCAGGCATTTTTAAGTCCTGAAACAGTAGCGTAATTTTTATTGGCGTAAAGGAGCTGTTGTAATACTATGTTGTAGTATTCTACTCTATTTTGTGTATTCTTAGTATATAGCTGTAATCTTCAGATTATGCAGACATAATTAACTGTGGTGTCTGCATCAGTGTACAAGGGATGCTCTTTAAGAAGAGAGGTGTGGGGAGAGGCATGAGCAGAAAACAAATACATTCAGGAGTTCTGGGATTCTAACATTGATCTTTGCATTTGTGCTACTAAGCATCTTTTATGTAGTGCTGACCTGATACACATTCCATTTAAGTTTTCACATACCACAATTTTTCATGCCCACTCACTTCATTATTCCAATAAGTAACTAACCTTATTCAGAATCATAGAATGAGTAAGGTTGAAAAAGGACCACAGTGTGTGTCATCTGGTCCAACCTCTCTGCTCAAGTAGGGCTGTCCTGGAGCACATTGCACAGGTTGTGTCCAGATGGTTCTTGAATATGTCCAGTGAGGGAGACTCCACAACCTCTCTGGGCAATCTGTTCCAGTGCTTGGTCACCCACATGGGAAAGCTTTTCCTCATATTCAGGTGGAACTTCCTGTTCATCAGTTTCTACCTGTTGCCTCTCATCCTATTGCTTAGCACCACTTAGAAGAGCCTGGCTTCATCCTCTTGACACCCTCACTTCAGAGATTTGTATACATTGATGCAGTTCTCTCTCAGTCATGTCTTCTCAAGGCTGAACAGGCCCAGATCTCTCAGCCTTTCCTCATAAGAGAGATGCTCTGGTCCCTTAATCATCTTTGTTGCCCTCCCCTGGACCTGCTCCAGGTGCTCCATGACTCTCTTGTACTGAGAAGCTCAGAACTTGACACAGCACTCCAGATGTAGCCTCACTAGGGCTGACTAGAGAAGCAGGATCACCTTCTTCAGCCTGCTGGCAATGCTCTTCCTGATGCATCCCAGGATACCACTGGCCTTCCTGACCACAGGGGCACATTCCTGGCTCATGGACAGCTTGTTATCCACCAGGACCCCCAGGTCTTTCTCTGCAGAGCTGCTTTCCAGCAGGTCAGCCCCCAGCCAATACTGGTGCTTGGAGTTATTCCTCCCCAAGTGCAGGACCCTGCTTTGCCCATGTTGAACTTTAGTGGGTTCTTCTCTGCCCATCTCTCCAGCCTATTGAGGTCCCTCTGAATGGCTATACCACACCCTGGGGTATTGGCCGCTCCACCCAGCTTTGCAGCATCAGTGAACTTGCTGAAGAGGTATCAGCCCCTTCATCCAAGTCATTGATGAATAAGTTAAACAATACTGGGCCCAGTATTGAAACTTGGGGGACACCACTAGTGGCAAGCCTACAAGTAGACCCTGTGCCACTAATTACAACCCTCTGTGATCTGCAGTTTAGCCAGTTCTCAACCCACCTCACTGTCCACTCATCCAGTCCACACTTACTGAGTTTGCCTCTGAGAATGTTGTGAGAGACAGTGTCGAAAGCCTTGCTGAAGTTGAGGTAGACAATATGCACTGCTGTCCCCGCATCCATCCAGGCAGTTGTTTCATTGTACAAGGCAATCAGGTTGTCCAAGCATGATTTCCCTTTAATGAATCCATGCTGACTTCTCCTGATCACTTTCTTGTCAGCCATGTGGATAGAGGTGGCCCACAGAATGAGGTGCTCCATCACCTTTCCAGGGATTGAGGTGAGGCTAATTAGCTGATAGTTCCCTGGATCCTCCTTCTTTTCTTTTTGAAGACCGGAGTGACATTTACTTTCTTCCACTCCTCTGCCAGCACCTCTCCTGATAGCCACAACTTTTCAAAGATGATCGTGAGTGGCCTCACTGTGCTGTCCACCAGCTCTCTCAGGACTTGCAGTTGCATCCTGTCAGGGTGCTTGGACTCATGTATGTCAAGTTAGTCTAGGTTCTCTAACCCAATTCTACTTGACCAAGGGAAAGCCTTTCTTGCAACGTTCTTTTGTGCTGGTCCCTTGGGTCAGAGACTCCCAAGGGCTGGTCTTGTCAGTGAAGGCTGATGCAAACAAGGTATTCAATATCTCTGCTTTCTCTGTGTCCTCTGTTACCAGTTTCTCCCCTCCATTTAGTAATGGGCCTGCATTATTATCCTTTGATTTCCTTTTGTTATTGATTGTTATTTAAAGAAGCTCTTGTTTTCCTTGACATCCTTGGTCAGATTTAGTTCCAGATGGCCCTTGGCCTTCCTTATGTCATTTCTACTTACTCTGACAACCTCTATATTCATTCGAAGTGGCCTGACCCTGCTTACATCTCCCGTGTATTTCCTGCTTACGCTTGAGTAATGACAGGAGTTCTTTGTTCATCCACGCAGGTCTCTTGCCCCCTTTACCCAATTTCTTGCTCATTGGAATGCATCATTCTTGAGCCTGGAGGAAGTGATCCTTGAATATCAACCAGATCTCTTGGACCCCTCTTTTCTGCAGGGCCTGTTCCCATGGGGTTTTTCAAAGAAAATCCCCGAAGAGGCAATAGTTAGCTCTCATGAAGTCCATGGCTGTATCTTACTTGCTGCCCTGCTTCTTCCTTGCCTGATAGTGAACTCCGCAATCTTGTGGTCACTATAGCCAAGGCTGCCCCCAACCTTCACATGCCCTTCAAGGCCTTCCCTGTTTGTTTGTATTAGCACACCATTCTTTGTGGGATCCTCCACTACCTGTGACAGGAAGTTGCCATCAACACTTCAGGAACCTCCTGGACTGTTTGTGCTTTGCAGTGTTGCTTCTTCAGCAGATGTTGGATTAGTTGAAGTCCCCCACAAGAACCAGGGTCTGTGACTTTGAGACTGCTTCTAGCTGCCCGTAGAAGGCTTTATCTGCTTCCTCCTCCTGATCAGATGGCCTGTAGCAAGACCCCACAACAGTGTCACCCTTACTAGTCTCTCTTTTGTCCTAATCCATAAGCTCTCGACTTACACATCATCCACCCCAAGACAGAGCTTGATACATTCTAAGTGTTGTCTCACACAGGGGGCAGTTCCACCACTGTGCATTCCTGGTCTGTCTTTCCAAAACATTGTGTAGCCCTTCATGACAACATTCCAGTCATGCAAGCTATCCCCTATGTCTCCATAATTTCAGTGAGGTCAGAGGGCTGTGACTGCTCACAGATCTCTAGTTCAGCCTGTTTGTTCCCCGTCCTTTGTGTGGTGGTGTACAGGCAGTTTATAGAGTATTTGATTGTGTCAGTATCCCTGTGAGGGTGCAAAGGGACATCCCATAGTCCTGTCTAGTGGTTATGTCTTTGGCTGCTTGTGCTTACTCCAGGTATTCTCTCTTGGGCCTCCTTATACTAGGTGGTTGCTGTTGTTCTCCCCTTCCCTACACCTCTTTGGCAAACCTGTCCCTGTCCTCTTTCCAATCTAGTTTAAAGCTCTCTCAATGAGCCTCGCTAACTCCTGAGCTAAGATCTTTTTTCCTCGTTGAGACAGGTGGACCTCATTTGTTGCCAGCAGGCTTGGTGTTGTATAAACTGACCCATGATCAAAAACCCCAAAATTCTGCTGGTAACACAAGTCTCAAAGCCGGATGTTCATCTGGCATGATTTTCCTCTTTCTTTTCCCATCACTCCCTGCAACTGGCAGGACAAAGAGAACACAACTTGTGCTTCAAATCCCTTGTGCAGTTGTCCAAAGACCCAGAGGTCCCTCTTGATTGCTCATAGCACTCTTTATTAAAGCTTCAGGTTTATAGAGTTATGGATTGCTTATTCTTCAGCTTGACCCAGTTTTGCCTCTTGGATCCTGGCAAGTATAGCAGTTTTACTGTCCATCTCCATAGTCCTAATTTTTTGGATTTGAGTTTTCAAATATCTCAGCTGTATTGGGTACTCACCATAGTGTGGTTTTGTACAGTATACTTTACTGGGAGAAAAGGGCTGAAGCCCATAGTAGAATAAAATAAAATAAGAGTCAATAGATGAGAGAAAAAGGGGTGAATTATTTCTTATTGATAGGTATTTTGCATTTTTTGAAGCATGGAAAGAATGGAATCTTCTGCATTGCCTGGAGTCATAAAGATTCCAAAAGAATAGCAACCTGCAGCAGTGATGGATTTTGGTGAGTGTTATTGGAAGAAAAAAAAATTACTAAATGCACTTCTCAAGTCTGTACATTTTGACAGTACTGCCAGTGATTAATGTTAAAACTTTTCTTACTGGACAAAACTAGAATTTTATTAGTCTTCTGTACTTCTTAGGGTATGTTTTTCATGATTTTAAGAAGAAGATAAAGGAAACTTTTTCAAAAGGAATAGTGTTTAAGGCACTCTGATAGTGAAACTGAATTTTTATTTTATTTAGCCAAGAATATCCTATCATTCTTGTCTATAGGGGAGACTTTTCAAAAGCTATCCAACTGTATTTGTTTTAATTTTTAAAATTTTAAAGTTTGTTCTTTCAAGGACTAGAAAGCACTGTTTTAGAACAAAGTAATTACAATTGTACTATTATGGGAGTATAATACCTTATTTCTAAAAATGTGTGAATGTCCATTGAGACCAATTTTGCATATATTATGTTTTAGTACATTTTAAAAATCCTTCTTCATTAGTTTCCTCTGCTACCTGTGTCATTCCAGCTCAAACATAATGGGCATAAATTTTAGAAAACAATCAACTTTTTTTTTTTTTTTTTTTTTTTAGTTCCTAAAGATCTATTTGTACCTTAAAGCTATAACTACAACTTTGATTTTGGGCTATGAGGATCTTTTCAAGAAGGAGGTACTGCAGTGGATATCTTTATAGGCCTTCTGAAGGAACATGGGCACTGAAGTCTAGTTAGATGTTTTCTTGGGAAATACATAGTTAGCCTTGTAGTTGAGGGGCTGATATTGTTTATGGCTATTTCTCATATTCTTTCTGTATATCTTTTTGCTACCTGGCTTATTCGCACAGAATAAACCTTAATTTTGGATAACCTCCTCAGAATGTTTTTTTCCTTATTATTTTGCATTATAATTGATTTCAGTATTATTCGAACCATTGATGGCAATGTTCTTCACAAGTATAAACATCCAGCTGCAGTGTTCGGCTGCGATTGGAGTCAAAACAACAAGTAAGTAAAAAATAACCCAAAGAATTGACAATATTTACTATTTAAATTGATTACCAGTAAAGAAACACAAGGTTATTAGAATGTGATTTTCACTGTGGTAGTAAACCACTAAAATTATCTGTTCCACAGTAGGATATGCCTGTAGCAGCTCCATATTCCCAGTAATGTATCTTATTGACCACCATGAACTTCCTTAATTTTCAAAGGAAGATCTTTTCATATTGATGAGAGAAAAAAAATTCTCTAGCTGAATATATAGTGGGGGGAAAAAGGCAGACATTCAATACCAGGAAAAAGGGGTTTATATTGGCTTCCTTGTAATGACTGCTAAGCTGAAAATGTAGTAGGCAACTAAATGCACTATGATATATATTAATTTTGCAGATAATTCCTAATAATGACGTAAGAACTTTCTGTCTGATTTAGTATATTTAATTGGATTATCAATAGTTACTTTGTCTCTTGAAGAGACAAAGAAGAAGCAAAAATACGCTGTTTTTTGAAGTAAATTGCAAATTACACGTCATATTTATTTTTAAATTAAAAAAGCATTGATCATCTCTCTGACTAAAGATTTTGCTGTTTATATTTTACAGAGATATGATAGCTACTGGTTGTGAGGATAAAAATGTTCGTGTTTACTACTTGGCAACCAGCTCTGATCAGCCACTGAAAGTTTTCACAGGGCATACTGCAAAAGTGTTTCATGTACGGTGGTCTCCTCTGAGAGAAGGAATCCTCTGCAGTGGCTCTGATGATGGGTGTGTATTTCTGAACTATTGGAAAACTTAAAACCTCAAGCAGAACTACTCAAGAAACTCAAAATATTTACTTGTACTAGTGTTTGCACCTTCAAAAACTTCATGAATACCTAATAATCTAAATCTCTGCCTTGTTCAAATACAGGCTGTAGCTTTGCTGTTAGCTTTATGTAGTATTTGGGCATCAGGATCATTAAGATTGTCACAGCTGCTGTAGCAGTGCAACCTTTCCAAATGCTTTCCCAAGAGTAGGATCAGTGACTGATACTGTTACTCTGAGGAATAATACAAGGGGGACACCACAGGGACTGATGTTTTTTCAAAAATATACTTAAGTATAGTCTGCAGAAATTTTTAATGAGTGCTAGATACTTCTGTTTTGTTGTTTTGGTGACATCTTTTTTGAGGGAAAGCACAGCAGTCCTCAGTAAGCAAGAGGAAGGATTTTCTGGTTCTAAGCCACTTCCCTGCAGACTATACAAGATATTTTTGTAATAGATCTCAAGTTTGGAGTATTGACTTCTATTGCTTTCCCCATTAGAGGTTTATGCTTGAAGCAAAATCTGTTAGTTCATACTGTAGTGATTCATGACAGAAAACAACTTCACAGCAAACTTCTTGACAGCAAAATACATTGAACAGGAGTGGCCCTAGAATTGAACCTTGAGGAGCACTGCTGATGACCAGTTGCTAGCCAGATGTTGCCCCATTCATGACAATTCTTTGAGCCCTGATGTTCAGCCAGTCCTTCACCCAGTGCACCATGAACCTGCTTATCCCACCATTGTCCAGAAGGATGCTGTCAGGTACAGTATCTGAACTCTTACTAAAATTGAGAGAAACTACATCCAGCACCTTCACTTCATCCACTGGGCAGGTGACCTTGTCATAGAAGGAGACCTGATTAGTTAACCAGGACTTTCCCTTTTTGAACCCATGTTAACTGTGTCTGTGCCTGATGATTGAGTTATTCTTTAAATGCCTTTCCATAGCACCTCGTATAATCTTCACAATTTTTTCCAGGAACTGAGCTTAGACTAGCAGATCTCTAATTTCTTGGGTCTGTTAGAGGGCTGTTGAAGCCATAGGAAAGATAAATTTTACAGTTTTGCTTTTCTTTAGTTCTTTTTCCTCTTGAGAGTCCTAACAGAAAAATTTACTGCATATGCAGACATATGGCAAACTTCTTTTCTCTCACTGACATGTAAGTGACGGGTGGCTGTCAGCTTTTGAAAGATTATGTGGTCAATGGAATAGTTTCTTACCCTGGTGAATGGTCTTTGGTGTACTTTGTATGCCATTGTAAACTTGAAGGGCATTGGCTCCACCCTCTCCTATTTCAGCTTCTATAAACATATTGCAAATAAATATTCTGATAAATTTGAGGCTTAGAATGTTGCTGAAGTAGAGAGATAATGATATTTTTATAGGTGATTTGATGGACATTGGTCTTTTTTATCCTGTTTCAGTACTGTTCGAATATGGGATTATACACAGGACGCTTGTATAAATGTTCTTAGTGGACACACAGCTCCAGTACGGGGGCTGATGTGGAATCCTGAAATTCCTTACCTTCTAATATCTGGCAGTTGGGACTATACAATTCGAGTCTGGGACACAAGAGATGGAACATGTTTGGACACAGTTTATGATCATGGTGCAGATGTATATGGTAATATTTTTTAATTTGGTTTTATTTCTGTATTTAAATGCATTTTAATATATTTTAAATTTTATAAAATAATTTAATCAAATGTGTTATTAGATAAACTTTTTTGACCGCATTTTTAAATGCCCTCTCTGCTAGGATTAACATGTCATCCTAGTCGTCCATTTACTATGGCATCCTGCTCTCGTGATTCCACTGTGAGACTCTGGTCATTGACACCTCTTATAAACCCTCTACCAATAAATATCTTAGCAGATAGATGTTGGGATGATATTATCGGCAATACAGGTGAGTAAATTGTGTATACCATTGTTCTAATTTTCTTTATATCACTATTTTTCTTTTTTCTTTCGTTGTTCTTTTTTTTAATTTTCTTGTATAAATCTTTGTGTGTGTTAGATCGTGCTGTGGAATCTGGTGCTCCTCCTTTGCTGTGTGGTAAAGTTTCCAGGGATATTAAACAGGAATTGGAAAAATTGTCAGGAAATCCTCGAGGAAAAAAACTAAGGTGGTTTTCAGAATGTTTTTCAGTAAGTATTCTGTAAACCTAAGTATGTTGTCAGTGTGCATGACTTGCTCTTCTGAGGTCAATCTCCAAAACTGAAATTTCTTCCTTCTTTACAATTTTTTTCTCTCTTTTTTAAGGGACCTTAGAAAATATGTAGAAATCAGTTCTATTTCTTAGCAGTTCTGCATATAAAAATGTCCATGACTTAATTGTTTATCAGTTGTGAACACCAGTTTTTTGCAAAGTGAAATTAGTGGGATAATTTAATTTTCTATAGGAAAGGCGTAATCTGACAAGAATTTGCTATTGAAGAAAATGAAAATAAGTGTTTTATCAAACTACATTAGAGTTTTTAATTTTGATTTATCAAAGGGACACCCTCATTACTTGTAAGGTTTGAACTGCCCAAGTGTTTTTTGCCCAAACCACAGGTTACATTCTGGCAGCTGTAGATCTGGATGACCAATGCCCCGGTATCCGTTTGTTTCCTTTGCTCCACAGCATAGTAATATTTCCTATAAATCGCTGCAGCCTCTCAGTGCAGTTGAGTTAAAAATATAAACTACTGGATCCCTGTGACCATTTAGCTGCATAGGGGCTGAACTTGGGGTAGAACAAGGACAAAAATTACCTGGAACTACAGATTGTGTCACGCACTGTTGTAATTTAAGTCAGGATTCTGATCTATAAAGATCTAGTTCATCCAAAATATTTGTTATGATTTCTAGCTAGATTGAAGTGTATGATTTTTGAAATGCTGAAACAATCTTCCTCAATTTGGAACCTGGACATTTTATATTTTCTAAAAATATATTTTATGGAATTCCTTGTTTCACAGAAGCTATACATTTTGATATCCCATGTTGATTTGAGAGTAAAACTGTTATAAGAGTACTAAAATTTTCCAAGAACAAGAGCTTTTTTTATCAGCTATACTCAGTGCTTTTGGAGTCCAGAAAATGAGATATTGTGCTACACAATGAGGAGACAAATAAGAGCTTTAAGGGACAGAAAAAAGAGAGAATATTTTTTATGGGGGGGGGTTGTGCTGCTTTTTTTTGTTTTTTTTTTTTCTAGTAGGATTTCATGCTTTTTACCAGCTCAGAAATAACTGGACTTCTAAACTTGTAATCCTGTTATTCTTAGGAAAGCTCCTTCAGGTCAAAGGTTTAATGGTTTATTTTTTTTTTAAGCTTTTAAATTCTCACTCTCTTCTAGACCTCATTCAGTGTTAAACTATTGTCCTAGATCTACAGAAGGATTGATTCAAAGGCCAGACCAATGGAAGTGCTTAAAATCTATTTTTAAAAAATAATCACCTTGATCACTTTGTGCTGCAAGCTTTTGTGCATATACATATGCCATATGTGTGTATTTCAAGATTTAATATTAAGAAAGTAAACCAGGTTCTGGCAGTCAAGCCTTGGAGCTGTTTTTTTATCTTGCCGTTTTTTTGCCCATACCTTCAATTTACAGAAAATGGTAAACAAGTACTGGGGCAGCTCCTGCATCCCAGCAGCTGAATGTTGTTTTATGCCAGCAGTAGCCACAAGATAGCTTGTATGTCTTTGTGAGGAAAAGGGAAAACTCTAATGGCAAGCCCTCAACTATGTCCACGCATAACCCAATACTTATATTCATGGATCTTGCTGTATCTTTACAGCCTTCAAGAAAACTGAAGGACTTAGAGTATCTTGAACTAATTCATGCCTTCACAATGAAGGTTCTAATATTGAAATGGCCTGACATTGTTTTCTTGGAGTTGACAGACAAATGTTTTTGAATGTCTTCATAAGTTCAAGTTTCTCTCTTGAGCATGACTGTAATACAACTTTTCTTCCCTAACAATTTCAGCCTCCTGGAGGCAGCAAAAATTTATGGGATTTGGTTGCTGTAATAAAAGGACAGGATGACAGTTTGCTTCCACAAAACTACTGCAAAGGAATTATGCATATGAAACATCTCATTAGATTTAGAATGGTAAGTGAAACATGAACAATATGTGAAAATGATTGTTACTCCATATAGTATTTCACTCTTTAAAAATAACATTTAATGCTTTACAAAAGGGTTACAATTTATTTCATGTCCAAAGATATTTGTGCAATACCAGTTCCATCTGCAATACCAGTCTGTTACAGTAGGATCTAGCTAAGTCTGCATGACTTCATACTCATACTGCATACTCAGTGTTAAAATGATAATTTACAGTTTTTAACTAGAGAAGCCTTTTTCAAAATAATTAAAAGAAATTGCAAAGCTTGAGCTATGAAGCGAGTTTGTCTTCCCTGTTATATACACTGTGCTTTTATATTCAGTAAAGTCAAATTACTTGATTATTTGATTGTATAAACATGAAGTATGTGTCTGTGTTCAGATGCAGGAATAGAGGAATTCACATCAGAAAATGGAGGAGAGTTAGCAGAAATATATTCTGTAGGTCTGTGGAAGAAGGAGTGGAGAAACAAGAACCTGTCATTAATACAGATATGCATCTTAAGAGCAACTCAGATGTGAATGTGAAATTCAAGTACTAGACCATAAATTTATTAGTAGCTGCATATATGAATATGCAACCAGACATACAGTTTCTGCAGAATATGCAAATTTGTGGTTCTGTCAGGGAGCTCTTAGCAGTACTAAAGAATCCCACACTCTAATGACTGGGTTGTAAATAGAGGAAAGATTATCTACTGGTATAGGATGAGGCAATGCACTTGCCACCCCCAGGGGTAATACCTGCACTTGTTGTGTGAGGTAATACCTGCGCTTTTGTAATACCTATCACCTGTTGTTTGCTGTTGCAGACTCTCTCTTTTGCAAAATCACAGGCTCTTTAAGAGTGTCCTACATACCTTATGACTCTTAAATGATTCAAGTTTATTGGTATTGTTAACTGTAATAATATCAGCTGTTCTGCTAATCCTGTGAAGCCCTGTAAATGTGTGCATGTGTCCAAAAACCAGATTTCTCAGCCAGTTAGCCTGAGAAGACACTAATTCTTGGCTTGTGCAGTGCAAGCAGTCTGTTTATCTCTGCAACATGATTTTGTGCATTTATAACCCTGGTGACCTAAAATCACTACAGTCATTGCTGGTCATTTTGTCCCCTTTTTTGCTGACTCAGATTCTTGTTTGACAGCTTTAAGAGAAAGCAGGAGTAGGGTAATGCTGACTGCTTGTTAAGGGCTGCTGATACTGTCTTTTTCTTAGGAAACCGGATAATGGCATTGCAGCACCTAGACATTTCAGGATGAAGTAGGGATGCAGAGCAACTGTGTTTTTTCTGTTTTTAGGAAACAGAGAGGATGTATCGGAGATTTCAACATGAAAATAATAAAAAATATAGAGATGCTGAGGAAAAAAAGTAACATAGTTTGTTTTAAAAAAACCCAGGTCCTTGGGAGCTGGCATTGGTCTACATGGCAGTTTACTTTAGTGAAGAATGTTTAAAATTCATTCTCCATCTTCCATATATGGTTCACTAAAGCCATGAATAACCAAATGCCATAAATGTGTGTTGATGGTAGAAATAAACTGAGAATTGTTGAAACGTGAAGCTGGTTTTGCCTTTTTTTTTTTTTCCGTGTTAACTATAATTCTGTCGCAGCTTGTTTCTCAAGCTCTGCCAGATGAAGCAAGTTAGTCTTATTTCTCCAACTAATATAAAAATTGCGTTAGTTGAGAATATAAATAATTTCTTGGTTATAAGATTCATGGGACATGACAGATCAGACCACAAAGCCTATTGTCAACCAGTTGAGCCTGCTATCTGTATTATTTCTTTATGTGACATCATTATAATGGTAATATGTTCAATTTCCAGCTCTCTATGGTTTATGTTCACAATTTTTTTTTTTACGTTTCAAAATATCAAGATTTTTATGAGGGACATCTGGATGAATTACTATAACATATGAGAAAATGGTTGAGAATAAAAAATTATATAAAGATATTAAAGGAAGATAATAGAAAATATGTGTATATAAGCACAAAACACTAACAGTTACTTTAACAACATAAAGTTCACTGTAATCTCACTGAAATCGGTTCCAATTAGCCTTTTCTCAAAAGATTTTTTTTCTGAAATTATAACCTTTGTATTCCACTGTAATATTTGACAGTAGTGTATTCTTAAGAAAACTTGTTTTCTTCACAGAAAACTTTTTTATCCTTTTTTTTTTCCCTCTCAGTCCAGGGCACAAGAGCTGACAACAGTAAAGATGTCTAAGTTTGGAGGCGGTATTGGTGCACCAAGCAAAGAGGAAAGGCTCAAAGAAGCTGCAGAAATACATTTAAGATTAGGACAAATTCAGCGATATTGTGAACTAATGGTAGAACTTGGAGAGGTAAAACATCAGAACATTATTGAAGAATAAGAAAATATGAAAGTTTCTGAAAACCAGCTATCCTAGCAAAGATGGAGAGTCAATAAATGGTCACAAGTCCCAAAAAAAGTAATTGTGTTCCAATTAACTTATTTTTAACATATGCAGTCTAAAGCATAACTCATTCCTTATTTAACCTCTTGTCAAATTTATTTTTAATGGAAGAAAAATTAAGCTAGTTTACAATATGGCTGTTTCTCAAAATAAAATGATCAGGGTAAATGTATTGCTGCTTTCTTCTAGTGGGACAAAGCTCTCTCAGTTGCGCCTGGTGTATCAATGAAATATTGGAGGAAGTTAATGCAAAGGTAAGTTCATAAAAATATTATGGTGAGTTGTAGCTTCAACCCATAAAAGGACACAGACAAGTTAGGAAGGATGGATACTAATATCAATTGTAGTTGTCTTTTGTTACAGCCTTCTAGTTATGTTACTTTTTGTTCAGTAAGCTTTGGGATAGAACTGTGGAGGATTTCAACAATTTTGTGTACTTGAATCAAAGGGTTGAACATAAATTGGAACTTCAGCTGTGAACTCTTTAGTGCAGTATCCACAGTTTGTAAGTCTGGAAAGGCAAATGGGTTTCAGTGATCTTTTTATGGCTTCATCTAACACTATACCATAGAGATAAGTTTGGTGATTAATCATATGTGTAGATCTTTCTTGTTTATTTATTCATTTGTTTAATTAGGAGAGCTGATCAGTTAATTCAGGAAGAAAATGATGATGTCATCCCATACTGTATAGCTACTGGAGATGTAAAGAAACTCATTTCTTTCTTTACTTCAAGAGGTCAGCTTAAAGAAGCGCTTCTTGTTGCACAGGTATTACTACATATACCAGTGGGGGAGATGTATTTAGTTATTAGCTTATAACTCTGAATATGACAAGCATATTTAAAAGACTTGCTCTGTTCACTTTTGCAAAATAGTGAATAATGATACCTCAGTCTTTACTTTCGTATTGTACTGACCAGTTTTTATGCAAAAATCAAAAGAAGGTATGTCATGTTTATGTATGGAAAGCCTGATGGTTCTAAACTGCAATCACATAACCATAGTGAAAACTGATGTGTTCAATTTTGATTGAAATAGAACCTGATTTTCAACAGTCAGTATTGGCCTTAACATCAAAGACGTAGAATTTGATTTCTCTTGCATTTCTACTGAGAAATTGCCTGAATGTTTTAGCTCAATAGCTGAATAATGTACAGAATGGAACTTCGATACGTGCTTAGATTTAACAAGTTAAAATGTTGGAACCCTAAAGCAAATTAAAGCTTTAGAAAGATCTTATTTTTTCTTGTAAGAGAGAGATTACAGAGAAATATTACAATTCATAGAATGATCTTGTCTCAAAGATTTAATCGGATAATATTAAGCAACAAAATACCGGGACTTATTTTCCCTTGTCACTCAGCCCTGAGGTTTAATCGTGTTATCCCAGCTACACCTTAAAGAATATGAAAGAATTCACAGAATCACAGAACCAATTAGTGTGGAAAAGACCTTTGAGATCATTGAGCCCAACCCTTGACCAAACACCATTTTGTTCACTGATTTCATTTAACCCACACTGATCTCTTTGTATTTAATGTTAGAAATAAATTATTGCTAGACAGAAAAGAGTTAAGCTTATGCCACTTTCTACCACTGTATGCCAAACATTTCCAATTTGCTGTTATACCTGCTGAGAAGTATCTATAGACTTCATCCTTCATTCACACCCACTTGCTCCTTGTGGTGTAAAAATCAAGGTTGTAGTCTTCACTGTCCATTTTAAGCATTTCAAATGCTGGAAAAATCTTGCTCAAATGCATAGGAAGGAAGAAGTCTATTGCTTCTGTAGAATTTCTTGTATGACTGGATAAAATTAGGCTAAGATGTAGCTATGAAAAAGTTCATTAGTTTAAACATTTAAACATTTTCTTTGTTATAACTAGGCTTCAGAATTATTTTTATAGATCATAGGTTATTTTTGTTGTTGTTAAAAAATCGTATTTCATCTTCAGTTTCAATTGTGCATTAATTAATATTTTTTATTCACTACCAGGCAGCTTGTGAAGGAAATATACAGATGTTACCACTCCCCACAGCAAGTGGATCTTCAAATTCTGGTGGAAACAATGCTGATGATTATAATGAGTAAGTTGTTCTAGTTTATATCTAAAACCTCATTTTAGTACAGAAGGTAAAGTCATTAAGGGAGATAAAGCTTAGTGGTTTAATTTGGCATCAGCAATTTAGAATTAAACAAAATATTGCATCTTCTAGTACATAGTTAATAGAGTTACTAACTATCTGATGCTACACTAATTTCCCTCTTGTGACTCCTCCTGGCACAAAATGGATTTTTCATTTGTATGTATTATAACTGTCCTTTTCACCTGCTTGATATTTAAGATGCATTCCTATGCCCTTAAATATATAGCATATTAACTTAGAACTTCTGGTAAGCAGGGTAAGATTTAGCATTAACAAGTATTTATTATCCCCTGTTATTATGCATCATCTGCTCCTGAAGCTTTGCTGTTTGTCATCAGTAAAGATTCTAACAACGTACACTAAAAATCAAACTGAGACAGTAGTTTTAGATTAGATATTAGGAAAAAATTCTTTGCTGTGAGAGTGGTGAGGTTCTGGAATAGGTTGCCTAGAGAAGTTGTGGAAGCCCTACTCCTGAAAGTGTTTAATGCCAGGTTAGATAGAGCTCTGAGTAACCTGGTCTAAGGGAAGGTGTCCCTGCCCATGGCATGGACATTGAACTAATTGATCTTTAAGGTCCCTTCCAACCCAAGCCATCCTATGATTCTGTGATTTTCATTGTCCATGCCCTTAAAAACACCCAAAGCATGCACCTCTCCTTGTTTAGAACAGTGGTCAAAAGCCGGAATTATATTATCCGGTTATGGGTGTAGTGACAAGCAATTTAGAGACTGTTTAGCTGCTTCATTTACATGTGCAGTTTTTGAGCAATTAGAGAAATACTTGGTATAGATTGGATATCCAAATATTTGATTTTTTTTTGTGTCAGTCTGAAGAGACATTTCTGTACTTACATGGATTTTGGGAAATGACCCCCATGAGTACACACCAACCTAAGCAGTGGATGAAGCTCAAACAGATTGCATTTTTCATGCTAGTCGTAAGTCAAATATAGCAATTTTTAGGGTACAGAAGGAAATGCGGTGAATTTTACATAAATTAAGAGCCAAAGGACTCCAGTCTGAAAGCGACCTTGCAGAATTCATGTTTTGTTCTTGCAGGCTCCTGCACAAGGTCAGTAAAGAACTGGCAGATTGGTATTTTCAGGATGGCCATGCAGTGCTTGCAGCATGTTGTCATCTGGCTGTTGAAAATATAGAGGTATTTTTTTTGTCTTTAATTATGAAAAATCTGACATTGTCTTCCTTTCTCCACACGTGTTTTAAAATTTATGTATCACATTCTAAAATTCTACTTATACTTGATATTTGATTTGTATATATTTATGGAGAGTTAGATCCTTACAGTATTAAAGTTACTAGCAAAACTTCCTTGATTCTATTAAATTCAAGGTTTCTCTCATGCACAGAAAGTAATATATTATCATTGAATTGTATATACAGTGTCTTGTTATATTAGAAAATATAAGATACTTAAGTACCTTACATATATACACTTAAGTGTTACTGTTTACTGTTTACGGTGATTCAAAATAGCTATTCAGAAATGGAAGTTATTGTTCTACAGAAGATGCAATCTCTGCCTTCAAGAATTTACAGTCTAAATGAAAAAGTAAATAGGACAAAACCCCACCTCTCAGTACAAATATAAAACTGACATGTAGGAAACATTTTACTGGATTTTTCATTTTGTTTGTATTTTTATACAAATAGTTTCTTTTTCCTATTCTTTCTGGACTTAACGTGTTTTCCTCCTCTATCCCCCCGCCAAATAAGTATGATGATAAGATGATTCCATCTCAATCATCTGTTCAGAGAGAAATCGAGAATCAATTAATGCTTGTATTTCAAAATAAGCATATTCCAGGTTGTCGTGTAGTCTCTTACTGTTTGACATTGTGCTATGCCTACCAGCAACTCTGGTTGGCCAGAGAGTGTAAGATCAGGAGAATCCTTCCTGGTTTCTTGTTTCTTTGAGTCTCCCTTCACTGAAAGAAAGGGGAAGTATTTACTTTGAAAGTTAGCATCATTACTTAAGATTAGATGAAATTCCTATCATGCTTTTTAGTTATCATATCTGTGTAATCTCTTTGGTTAAATAAAGAAAGAGTCTGCTAAAGGAAATCTATTTTTTTATTTTAAAACTGATTAACATGTGGTGCACAGTTATTTACTCATGCAAGAGACCCAAATTATATATAATTTACTTTAAGTATTGCATATTTTGTCCTTCTGTAAAAAGCATTCTCATAAATTATTGTCATATGCTCAACATGGTGAATACCAAAAATGCTTATGATTTAATTTTTTCATTGAGCAAGCTTGCGATGGCAAACCTGATTCGTGGAAATGAACTGGAGCTGGCAGTCAGTGTTGGTACTGTCTTAGGAGAAAGTGCAGCACAAGCAACACATTATGCCCTAGAATTACTAGCAAGAAAGTGTATGGCAGTAGCAACATGGTAAGAATTTCTTAATCCAAAGAAATTTTTTATTAATTTTTTTTCCCTGACAAAACAATCAAGGTATATCATTCTGGAACTTTTATGGAGACCAAACCACCATGAGCAGGTAGAATAAGAATTGCTGCTATTAGACCTTTGAAGTACAGGGCATGCAAATGTTCTGCATTAATCTTAAAACACGTTATGTATGCATTGTAAATGAGAGAAGAGTCATTGTCAAACAGAGTGTGAAAACCATTGAAAAACCACCAGCTACTTGGGCAATAGGTAGCACATCCAGTCCTGGTCTGTCCTGAGTAAAAATAACTGCTTCAGACAAAGTAAGGCTGGAACTGAATTAAGAACTCAAAAGGGACAGAAGCTCAAGTAGGATCTGTGAAGTGATTTTTAAGTACTTGTTTGAAAAAAAAAGAAGCTAATAGTCTGAGGAATTATTTTATATTGGTATTAGGAACACAAGACAGCTGAAAAGATTTAAGGATGAAACAGGATTACTGTTTAATTCTGCAGGAGTAATTTCTCTGTTGCATATAGGGGAAACCTTCTGCACCTACTGCAGCTACACTCTGCTATCCTGGAGTTTGATTTTCAGCCATTACAGCATATTTTTTCTGTTGTGTAGGAAAAAATCACAGATTCATGAATCTCTTCATATTTTGTAATAAAGAGATACTGACACAGCATAATACGTCTTGGTTCACTGCATTTATAAGATCATGTGTGGGGAAGCTGGAGTTCCAGGTCTCTGACATTTGAAGGGTTCCCTTTTTGTTTTTATTGGTTGTTATGCTTAAGAATTTCCATCAGTTGGAAACATTTCATTGTAGAGACACACTTTATTGGTGGAATGTTTCTTGGGATTTGATTGGTTCTTTTTAGAAGTGCTCTAAAATATAAAATTTAAACAAATAAAGTCAAAGCTAAGTATTCATGTCCTTCCCGAAACCTACAGTTTTGGGAAATTAACACCTAAATAGTGTTAAAAGCAACCTTCTACTATTCAAAAGGCTAATCATATTTTACTTGAGATAATGAATTCTGCATATGCAAACTCAGCCACTTAATTTTTATCTTTATACTTGACAGTGTTTTCAGCATAATTCTTAAAAATCATTCCAGGTAATGTTCCATGAGGGCTTCTTTGAATTATTTTTTTTTAAATAAACGTTGGATTCAGATTTTGCAAGATAACTTCTAATCACATTAAAAAAATGTTTAAATTGCTTTTGAAGATTAGCACATGTGAGTAACTGATCTTAAAAATAGTTTAAGAAGCTGTGAAATATCCTATATTCTGAAAGAGCACTTCTGTAACTTGGAAAAGGGGCTATTGCACGGTAATAGTATAACAGATATTCCAAAGACCTTTTGGCATTAATTTCTTTAGGTGGTCAAAAGGCATTTTTTTGTTGTTGTTAATCAGTTGCCCTGACTCTTAGATTTTCTGTTGTCTTTTAATTATTTTCTCTTAGATATTTCTTCTGTAAAGTAATACAAAGGTTTGTTCATTACTGTTTCAATGTCTTCCTTTTAGCTTTCCATCACTTGGATACAGGTATTTTGCTTGTTTATAGAAAGAAAGATTTGAAAAGCATGTGACTTTATTAAGGGTAAAAATAAGATTAAACTAAGTGTTCTAATTTTTAATTGTGATGAGTACTTGAAAGTGAGATAGAAAGCAGTTACAAATATTGGACAATAGCTTACTTGAACATTTTTAAGCCAAGGACCCCATTCTGAAAATCCAGAGGAACTTTGTAGGATTTTTTGCCTTACACAGGGGCAAGTCAGTCTTGTGGGTTACAGGAGAAATGAATTGTTTAAGAATAATTTCCTAATATTATATGTGTTCCCTCCAGCTGCTTATTGTGTTCAGGATAGGATAACAAATGGTAAAAAGTTAGGAAAATTTCAGAAATGTCAGTTTGCTAAAACACAGTTTTCCTTTGAGAAGAATGAAAATAGGTATCACATTCTTTTCATGTATAATCTCTCTATTTTAATGTCATAGAAGCATGCCATTCTGGATGACTGAGAGATGCTTTATGCTGATGTCATGGAGCTTTAGAAGCCTGGAAGTTTGAGGATGGTTTCATGACAGAGAACTACATTATCATCTTTCTTTCTCTCAAATTGGATAGTTCCTAGTCTCTTTTACCATCCCTGCTCATGTATTCTTCCACCTCACTTTGAGGTGTTTCTGATGCTTTAGGATTGCACAGCTGTTTAATTCAACCAATAAAGCAACAGAAAATTCACTGATGACTTCCCCAAAAAGATAAATAGATTAAGCCTCATTTATTGCACCAAAATAGTCTTAGAGACAGATTGCTTCTGCATTTCTCTAGAAATAGTATTATTTTCAGTAAACTCTTCTTTATAAAAAGAATGTTAAAGAAAAAACAGTTTCCTCCTATTACAAACCATCGAGAGTAACTTGTCATCTTTTGTTTATGCAGGGATTTAGCAGCTGATCTTCTTATGATGATTCCTGATAACAAACTGCAGTTAGTAAAACTATGTGCTTTTTATCCTGGATGCATAGCAGAAATAAATGACCTGCATGAAAAGGTACAACGTAAAAAAATTACCTGAATGCTCATAAGAGGTTATGTATTGATTTGTTTACTAATTTCAAAAAACTTAAGGCCAAATAAATCTGTAGGATGAATTTGTCCCCAACAGTCTTATACATTGCATGCCCTTCTTTGCTCTTTTAGTCTTCATTGACTTTATTTTTGGTATTGTGCAAGAAATTTAGGTCTTTAATTCTGCTCTTTGTGTATGCTTTCCATTACACAGGTTACTTTCTGAAGTAGCTTATGATCTTCAGAATTACCTGTCAGTATGACTTAAAACTTACTAGATATGCAGCCTAATCATGTTGTGGCAGATCAGCTTTCTTTACTGGTCTGAGTTGTTTTACATCTCATCCCTCTAATGTCCTTAAATCCCTCCTTTCCTCTTCAGCAGCAGAAGGGTCTTCTCTGCTAACTCCCTTAAGGTTCAGCTCAGACTGCACATTTATTAAGCAGTAGTAAATAGTTCACAAAAACATTAGCAATGGAAACTGGTACTGCTTAAATTAAAGTTACAGAACCTTCTCCCCCTGTGTTGTTCTCTGGTCTAGCTGGCTTTCTTAATGTGCATCATATGCAGGTACATCTTTCAAACAATGAGTCCTTCAGAGAGAATTTTTTTCTTATTGTTATGTTCAAACATCAGTGTTTCTCTGCATCTTAAAGAATTGTTTGAACATTTTTGTCACTTTCTGGCAAAATGTTTTTTTCCAGTGCAATCTTCCTGATGCAGAAGAATGTATGCGGTTGGCAGAGACAATTCAGACAGACGGAGATATATTTGAAACGATCAAGTACTATCTGTTAAGCACAGAACCTGACAGGGCTCTCCCTGTTGGCATTCAGTATGTGAAAGGTAGGTACTTGGATGAAGAAACCTTTTAAAGTGTAAGTCATTTGTATAACTTGCCTCTTGAGATATTTTTATTTTTATTTTTCACCAGAACAACTTATTGGCTCAGATTGGACTTTGGATTCAGTCTTTCCATATCTTGATCTTCTAAGTTACATACGCACTGAACAATTAATGTTGCATCAATGTAGTGAGTGAGTATATTTTCATTACTTAGAAAGTGGAACTTTCATTAAAGGAAACTTTTAGAACTTATAAACAGATATATATATATATATATATGTGGGTGAACACTGCTACTATCATTATTTGCTTACCAAAAGAGGGATACAAAAAAAATTTTCAGCAAGCTGGCTGGTTCTCAATCTGGAGAATAGAATGTGGAATTTTCCTAAATTTTGAAGGTTTAGCAAGGAAAAAAAAAGGATATTTTACTGCTTCTTTTTCTGTGGCATATTTACAAGGGATGAATCAATGGTCTTATGTGAAGACCTTCACTTTGATCTGTTCTGGTTTCAGTTTCCTGAGGAAAAAGAGCAGTGGTACCACACACAATGTGGGCTTTTATGTCAGTGTTAAGAAAATTTTAGCTGCCACTCTCAGTATTAACTCTATAGCTGTGGTTCATCTTTATGACAGATAGTTGAAACTAGGCCTAGATGCCTACACAAGTGTACGTGTGAAGAACTAAAAGGAGAAAAAGCTGGGGAAATTTGGTGAAACTGAAGTCCGCACTAATATTTGGGACAACTTTATTTCCATTTAGAGTTATAGCACATTAAAAGCTCTGAGTGTTGTTTTTGTAACTTTACATGATTGTGCTTAAAAACTGAGTTGTGTGTGCCATTTAAAATTTAACAATGGAGATGAGTATAAAACACAGAGTCTGTTTTAACAATTCCATGACACAGAAAATAAGCATAATCAGCAAACATATATTCTCCACAAAAGGTGGATAGATAAATTAGGTTTTAATATTATAATATGAATTTGTTTAATGTTTTGCAAATGCTTGTTGTTTTTCATGATTAATACTTGTCCATTTATAGATTTCGGAATGAGTTGCTGATTTTGTGTGGTTACATTGGTGCTTTACTTGCTATCAGAAGACAGTACAATAGCATTGTACCTGCACTGTATGAGTATACAAGGTAATACTATGTTTTCACTAACACTGAGAAATCTCAGACCTTATTATGACATATACCATACATTGCTCCCACTTCCCCTTAACCTCCTCTCCAAAAAAAAAAAAAGAGAAAACCAAAAACAACCGAGTTTCCAGTCCTGTTATAAAGTTGTAAGGATATAGCCATGTTTGCATATAGAACCTTCTTTACTTTCTTTATGCATTATACACATAAAAATTTCTGAGGTAACACAATGAGTTGTGAAACCAGGATATGAGTCAAACTCTGAGTTCTGTAAAAAAACAATTTTTAGAAGTAGATGAGTATTCAGCATCACCTCCATGCGTGACTGACTATACATGGACAGTAACACTTCTAAGTTGTATCTACCTGTAGACCATTTGCCAAGACTTGCTCTGTAGCAACAAGGACAAGCTTCGAATTTAGAGTTCATGACTGGGGACTCGCTTGATTTTCAACAAGAAACCCAATTTGGTCTTCTGTTACTCAGTGAGCTAATATCTCCAGACATTAATACACTTGACCTTGCCCACTTGATCTGACCTGGCCTGGTCCTGCCCGCTTGGTGCAGCTCAACCCCGACTGGTCACCTGACTATATCTGACTGGACTAGGCCCACCTGACTAGACTTGACTGACTTGAATCAGCTCAGCCTGACCCAGTTGTCCTGACCTGACCTGACCTCAACCACTACATGTGACCCAACTTTGTCCACTTGACTTGACCAGACTTGGCCTGACCCAGCCCAGTCTGGCTTGGCCCAACTCACTTGACCCTACTCAACCTGACCTGCTTGATTTCACTTGGTACACCTGACTTCATCTGACCCCACTTGAACTTGAACCAACTAACTTGGACTAGAAAACAGAAAGATTAAGATGAATCATCTTTATCTTATATGGTAAATAAAGTAGACTTACATGGAATACTTTAGTATTCCTTTCTAAGAGTATAACCACGACTGTTTAGTCTTCCTGTCTGGTTCAGTAATGATATCCAGCTGACATATTTCCATTTCTCCTTCACTGTTGGGGCTGTCAATTCTTCTTGGTTTTGTCACCTAACTTACTGAGTAGCAAGGCCAGCTCCAAGGTGTCACTGATTTCATAGTGAAAGCTGTGCTGACATTATTCCAGCGGTTACTCCTGCATTAACTGCTCTAATGGACCCCTGCAGCTTTGTTAATAATTTCAGCTCCTTTATCTCTTCATCAAGAATAAATGTTGTGTATATGTTGTTCAGTCCTTTCACACCTCACTAGAATTGTGACCTATCGTACCGAGGAGAAGTAAACAATTTAATACGTCTTTCCTCTTAGCCATCCTCATGTCTGAAACTTGGTGAGAGGATTGGGAAAAAGGAAAAAGAGCTTTTTTTTCTTGTTTTTTGTTTCGTTTTGGTTTGTTTTTTCCTGAACTTCCAGAAATAACAAGATGAAATACAAGCTTTTACAGAAGGGCTATTCTGATATGTATATTAACAGACTAGTAATACGTGGTCTTTGAGACTCAGTTTTTTATACTTTTGGCTGTCAAGCTTTCAATTTTCCTGGGATATAAAGAACCACAGAACAATACAGCTCTAAGTTTTATTCTTGGATTGCCCAATATCTTCAGGATTCGTGGATTTTTAGATTCCACAAGTAAAACCAGGCTGTCCCAAAGCATGTGTTGAACCATGTTTCTCTAACTGTATTTTTACCATATCTACTATATATAGGCAAAATAGGTTCTTAATTTTACTGAAGTTGACATTATTAACAAATAAGAACACATATAGCCTTAAGATACAGAACAGCCTCAAATTAAAAAAAAATAGAGCTAAGTAAGGAAGGTGTAAATAGGAATAATTAAAATAAGATTTAAATGAAAAAGTATACTTTTATATCTATTATTAATATTTATAAGGTTTAATATAATGATTATTGTGAAGGATCAATTTATTTCCATCATGTTATTTCCATATCCAATCAGAAATAATTTTTTATTACTAATGTCTATCTTGTTTTGCTTCTAAGAAAATACTCATTGTTAGAACTAATTTGGACTTTGATTACTTTTATTTCTTTTCAGTCAGCTTTTAAAAAGACGAGAAGTATCCGTACCTTTGAAAATTGAACAGCTTTCTGAGGAATTAGATGCATGGAGAGCTTGCACACAATTAAACAAGTAGGTGGAAAAATATAAAATTACCATGAGTGAGACTGGTAGTATTTAACTGTTTAATTGTAAATTTATTTCCTTTGTAAACTATGAATATGACTGGGGGGAAAAAAGTGCTTTGTGGCTCTTAATTTCTAAAACAAATTAAGAAGTATAGTTGAAAACCAAATATCTTTTGTTCTTAGGTCTGGCGATGAACTGCCATGCACCCCACCGTCTGAATCACAGAGAGCGGTGTATTCACTGCTCGTATCACGAATTCAGGAGGAGCCTCTGAAAGGAATGGTTGGGCCAGACTGTGTCACTGGATCAAATCTTCCTAGTCATTCTGATGTTCATATTTCTTGTTTGACAGGGCTAAAGATACAGGTACGGCTTCAGAGAGCTGAAGTGTTATTTCTTGGTGATAGCATTGACTAGTTGTGAGGCTGCCATAAATCTAAGGTCACATCCATCATTTAGGAGGAAAAATGTTTACCCTGTTCTCACAGTAGCAGAGTTAAAGATGACAAATGCTGACATCTGCTATATAAGAAAGGCTGCATAAAGAATTGTCCAATCAAATAATTGTCATTTCCCAAATCCAAAACATTTTAATTTCCATGTGAAATTCCTTTGCCAGATGTTCTGCCTGAAATGCATGTAAATTATTGCCTACTACCTCACCACAGCTTGAATAAAAGCCAGGATATTATTTATCTTCAAACACATACTAACATTTTTCTGGTGTTGGTATTTATCACTATGGAAATACATACTATAAAACTTGCAATTCGTGACTAATTAAAGCCAGATATTAGCAGACTAAATATTCAAAGATATTTATTCATCACTCATATGGAGCTTTATGATTGAAGCACATTAGTCCTTATAACACCTCTTTGGTATGTGTTGTTATTTCAATAAAGAGAAAATTGGCAGATCCTGAAAACCCTACTCCTGTGTCCAGGTAGTGAGTTTACTCTCTTAGATGATACTGTCTCCTCTGTTCAGTGCAAGATGCCAGCCCAAAGACTAACAGGGTGGTTCCAGGACTAAGAAGGATAGTTTTGTGTCAGAAATTGGACATTGCAAAATGCTAGTGGGATTTTTGAGGTGAACAAAATTTACAGTTGCACCCCATCAATCAAAAAAAAACTTGCTGTCAACACTTTCACATTAGATCAGTGGTCTCTGGCTATGGCTGTGCTCTCAACATTTGCTAACAGCCACGTAAAGCTGCCATTGTTATAATCCATTCAACAAGCATAGCAAATATGGTGTCACCATCTTGTCATCTATAATATCCTTATTTCCAGATTAGTGTACATTAGGAGTCATTGCTTTAGGCATGCAGATCAACTCACAAATCACTTGGTTAATACTAAGGTGTATAGCAGCCTAATTGCATTGGGTTTACAAGTTCTAAGTAGCAAGTTTGGAGAGCTCAACCCTTTCTGAAAGTGCTTAAACTGAATTGCAGCTTTGAGACCAGATTTCATCAAATTAATAAATTGCCAAATAGCTCTTCTTACATCAGATAAATGAGTATTTTTTCCTTTTCGTAGTGAGCATTTGAAATTATTCTGTAGACTCCATGTTTCCAAACAATTCATGGATGCATTATATTGGGGTTTTTTGTAGATAGGAAAAAGCACAGATCAGCACAGATTATGACAGACACCATAAAACATGGACAGTATTCCGAAGGAAGAAAGCTTGTTACCTCCGTTTCTAAATCAGGCTAAATTAAACTCTGGAATAATTGACAAGCATATATGCAATAATAGTAAAATATATTATTAAAAATCAAACTAAAAATTTAAATATTATTAAGTGTCGCGTAGCCAGGTTTGGGAACATAGCAAGTTCTCTCAATTTATAATGTGTAACTGTTATCAAAGTTGTAAGTTGGTGGGGTACAATTTTTTGCATGAAGGTTAGTTGTAAAGAAGACTTTTGTGTTCTTCTCAGATAAAATGTGCTTTCTGCTGTGGTGGCTTTTACACAATACCTGTATGCTTTCTTTTTCTTTCCCTCTCCAAACATTTTTGCTGTACAGGGTCCAGTGTTCTTCCTTGAAGATGGAAAATCTGCTATTTCACTGAATGATGCTTTGATGTGGGCCAAAGTCAATCCTTTTTCACCACTAGGAACAGGAATACGACTTAACCCATTTTGATTAGGTGTTTCCTCTGTACTTTATAGTGCTTAAAATAACACTCTGGGGGTTAATACTGATTTAACCTTGATCAAAGGACAGAAAGTGGTAGTTGGAAGGGCAAGTACTTGAACTTTGAAAATTGTAAAGTGAAAGCAAGAAAAGAATTTCTATACAAATGTTTGTTGAAAATCCAAAGAAAAAAGTTATTTGGTAATCCAAAGAAAAAGTCCTAACTTCATATACAGCCATGTCTTTTTTTTTTTCAGTAAGAACAGTGTTGTCAGACAATACAGACATATTTTAGTCAACTCTGTGTGAATAGATGCCTTGTAAAGGGAGTAAGCAACTATCTGCACATTATCAAAATATTGATAACAAACTGTGAAATCCATAAACACACTTCCAAATACATAATAATAGAATAACTTTCTTGATACCTACTGCAACCTGGTTTTAGAAGGACTGGAATACTGTGGCTCTTTCACACATTGTGTCCCCCTTTTTAATTTTAACTAATTTTTACACACAGGGTTCTATAGTAAAAGTAAAATTTAAAGAGTAGATTATTTTTTTCATCCATTTGTTACTGTGCTTATTAGCAGTACAAATAGCAGTTTACTTATGTTTTGTTTAGAGAGTTTTGAATATCTACATTACAAAATTCTATTTTCTAATAGGATCATTTTCGGCAACTGTCCCCCTTATATTTTCACTGGAGGCTAAAATGTATTTATAAAACTGTTTTTTTTTTTTTAACAAAGGGTTTGTAAGGAACAAACAGCAAATTTATTGCAATTATTTAACTGTGATATATATATTTAAAATACTTGTTTTCTTTTTACATTTTGTATTAGTTATAAACATGCATATAGTATGACAAATCAGAAGTAAATACCTGTGCATATATATTTTTATTTACTAAATCTGTGCTCAAATGGAAAAAACTAGTTATGGCAATAGAACACTAAGAATATTTAAACTTTAAAGCTGTGTATAGTATGGAATTTAATTATAAGGAAAATATTATACTTATTTATTATTAATAATTCTTATGATCAGAATTACCTGTAGAAAAGATGCCTTGGTTACAGTATTCTTTATTAGTTTAATTGCTGGCACTTAAGCAGAAATCTACTTTATCTGATGTTACATTTTTTGCTGCTGCTTTAAAATAAATTTTAAAATTTATTTAGAATCCTGATAATTACATGAAATGTAAAGAAGTTGCAATTAGAAATTGGCAGAATTATTTTAATAGAAACTGTTGTAAAACTGGTAATAATAGCAGGTCTCTATTTATCAGACCCTGTAGACAATCCTCAATACAGAGGTAAGCCATGCCCTCATTTAACTAGAAATAACAATGCCACCATGCTGGAAAGGTGGGATGGAGATTAGAAATAAAAAAATACAGGGTTATTTTTCTCCCTCTTTAAAAAAGTAAAATTTCATTCTGGCAATGTTCTAGAGTATTATTACAGGGTTTCTGGTTTAAGAATAAACTGGAGGGGGAGAGGCAAGGCTTAGCTCTTTTGTAGCCTAAAAACCCCCATTTTTGTATGTACTTGGATGCTGGAACAGAATGTTTTACTATCTGCAGGTATTCTTTGGAAAATGATTTTCCTTTTTTTAACTCCTTGGAGCTTGGCAAAGAAGAATTGGGTTTCAGAAGTCAAAATTTGTAGTTTTTGAAATAATTTTCCATCAGTCAGTATCTGATATCTGCTTCTGTCAAATGAAAGACTAGCTGTCTTTTAGCACATAAATTGTATAACCTGATATATAAATGCAGAGGTGCAGAGCAATGGTAAGAACATGCAGCCCCATGACTGGTGATTGGAATCTGAAGGATTGACTCAACTGCCATTCTACTACTATATTTAAAATCTTTTGCTGTATCATAAGGACTTTTACCAATATTTCAAAGTTTAAATAACTTACAATGTGTAGTATAACTACATCAATGTGTTGCACATAAATTGTGCCTTAACATGGAATCTTGGGCAAATCTACTCCCTGTTTAGAATGTGAGGGTTAGGAATTCTTTCATTGCTAAAATATAAAAATTAAGTCAGAGTTTTTTATATTTGGGGTGAATCAGGAAACAGTCATTGTGAATAACATGAGGTTGCATTTTCCTTGTAGTTGTTTGTACCCCATGTGTTGAGTGAGGGGAATATGCAGAAAAGGTTGTAATTGTGTCTACTGCTACAGCTGTGGTTGCAACTGTCAAAAAATGAATTCATCATTTTCATAATTAATTTCAGATTGTTTGCTAATATGTGACTTCATTGTCTGGCACAGCAAGTCAAATACAGATATTTCTCCCTTAATATTAAAGAATACTTTGTCTTCAAATTATTGTTTGACTCTTCTGTGAAAGTCTTATTTCCATTTGAATGAAGAAATGTATCAAGCTATACAGCTAGTGCTTTCCAATGACTATGAAATCTCAGTTAAATTTAACATCACTTTATTCCCCCAAACCAAATCCATTGTTATATTGAAAGAATCTGTCCAACATTACTGACATGTTTATAAGCTTCACGGACAGCTTCACTGGCAGCTGCAGTCTGAGATATGAGATGTGACACTTTAAATCCATTGGGTAATTGGATTCTTCATTTGGGTAAAGTCTTCAATTGACTTCTTCATTGGGTAAAATAATTTCAATCCAGAATTACAAATTAAGATTACACTAATGAAAGAAACTCCATTCTTAACACAGAAAACAGGGAGTCTAGAAACCTTTTTCAGAATAGGCATTAGGTTTTCTTAAAAACTTGAAGTTACATGTTTATGTAGGAAGGAAATGAAATCCAGGATCATCTTTGCTCCAGATAAAAATTACAAAAGACATGGAGCAGGGAGCAGATTCACAACAGCAGTGCTGAGGACCAGAATGCATTTGCACATAAGGCAGCATATGATGAGATGAAAATTTTGCATACAGCCGTTGTGTTTTGTGGCTTTTACTTACACGCTGTTATACCCTGTGTGGGGCTGCCGTGCTGGCCCAGGCCCAGAGCCGCCCCCCAGGCACGGCTGCAGCGAGGCTCGGGCTGGGCCGGATGGTGCTGAGCAGCCCCTGCAGCCCCCCCTTCCCTGGGCTTTCACAGCCTCTTTTGTCTCAGGAGTGCTTTTTGAGCATGCCTGTAGGATTTCACTGTTGGATTGCTTTCCAGAATTGGCATATTACGCTATTTTTTTTAAATTAAAATGTCCTGTGATACTGTTTTAGTAGTCTAAAAATTCATATAAGAGCTATTCTAACCTGTAAAGAATGCTTCTTCCAAACTTGGATGTGCTGTAGTGGTCTTAAACAGTGCTCTGATATGGGTAATTTTTTTTTTTTTTTTGCTTCAGCTCCTGATTCCTAATATTTTATTACATTACTTAGCATTTATTTCATACTAAGAATAGGGCCCTCACAGCATGAAAGCAGTAAGAAACCTGTTTCCTTTCATTTCTGGCTAAACAAAGGATCGTTTTTGGAAGAGATTTTACCAAGTACTAACGTCAGGTATTTCACTACTGTGTATTTTTGGTATGTGGCATTAGCAGGCTCTGATCTGCCTGAGACCTGTTGCAGTGCATAGTTCTGCCAGGGCAACAACATCCATTTCCTATTTTTGTTTGTCCCTGTTACATAGTAACAGAAGCACTGCCCCACCCACTTGGCTTTTCTTGCCAAAATGACTCGCATTTTCACATAATTATTTGGTAGCAAAAGATAAAAGTTTATGTTGAGAAATGCATCTTGCCCAAGATCCAGGTCATAATATTACCATAAGCCAGTTTCTTCTGACTAGTCTACCCTTCTGTAGAATTACAGGAAAAGCAGTACCAAATACCTGTATACTCCAGAAATGGTCTTTGTTTGCTCTTTGGATAGTGGCAAGGATCGGTGGGAACAGATATTGCAAATGCCTCAGGAGCACAAACACAACTATTTGCAATGAGATGGCTTAGACTCTTATGTGACTCTCAGCAAAACTTCTCATGTTATCCTGTGGTGTTGAACAGGTGTTTTGCAGAGTAGCCACACTTGCTCAAAACTGATCTTATAGAACATGAGAGATTTTTTTGACACTTTGTCTGAGTCAAACTTGAAAAGCACTGTGGACACCCGAAGGGGAGGATCTAAATTATCTCATTCTACATAGAGAAGTTCAGCAGTGCCATGGTTGGCTTGGCGGTTTGGAGTTGGCTTGTTTGTCGAAGTAACACACAGTACTGGTATTGTACATAAAAACACAAATTGCTAGGTTTTGATGGAAACCAAAACCACCCAACTCACTCCATAACAGTCTGGATGTTATGGACTCCTAAGCAGCTCCTCTTACTTGCATTTGATTTTTCTTTACAGGGACTTCAGAAGAGACCCCTAACTAGAGTTTTTGCAGGGAACAGAAGAAAACTAGGATTATTTAACAAGGGCAAGTGCTGGACAGCTGCATTTTTTATTAGGGTGGATATAATTTAGCAACTGACTAAGCATTCCTCTTTGTGAAAGCTTCCTCTATAGTTAGTTCCTCAGTATCTTTCCAGTAGGAACATAAATACTGAAAGGAGTCACTGAAAAGGAATGGAATAGGGTGAATCACCAAGGGCAAGTGGCAAATTACCAGGTGTCTTATGCTTTGGTTTACAGGAATTGAGTATAAGTCACTGAGAGTGTAATTTGTTCTCAAAGGAACACCAAATGAGAAGACTGAGAGGAGGAGCACTTCATTTCAGTGTAGTCAGATCACATTTTTTGACAAGACAGGCAATCACCAAAATGCAAGGGCATGAGCAAGGCAGAAATCTTTGAGGTTTTCTAATGTCTCTTGGGGGTGTCAGCATTCCTCCTCTGGCTGGAGTTGAACAATAAAATTTCAACCTGTTCACAGAAATGCCTGCTAGAGCATTCTAGGATTTTGCAGTATGATTTTTGGTGCTGGGTAATTGTTTATAAACCAGACAGCAAGAGAAATAATGTCCTTTCAAGAGTGATAACCCTCCTGATATGGAGAACTGATGTATTTCTGGAACCTCAAATCCACCTCCTGAACTTTAGCTTGAAGATTCATTATCCACATCTCCACAATATGCCTTCAGAAATACTGCACATTAAGGTATGCCTTTCCCTGAGGCAAATAATTATTTAATATGCCAATGAGCTGTGATACAGCATTGCTATGAAAAGATAAGGAAAGAGCCCATATGATTTTGTTTTACAAGAGGAGATCAAAAGTACCTCAGCATTAAGGCTTTTGAGAATTATTCCTCTGGAATTTTTAAAGCTATGAATTGTATCAATAAACAGAGATTCTATAAAAAACGGAGATCATGTTCACAGCAGCTTAATTCCATTTCACAGCTCGGGCAGTGAGGAAGAATAAAGGAAGTTTTTCATTAATTAATTGTCTATATAAAGAAAAAGAAAAAAATGACATCCAATCGTTTTATTTTTATCAATGTATATAGCGCACCTATCACCAAGTATTTTTAGATACATGAACAATAGAAATTTAAAAACACATACAATACTGACTCCAAATGGACAAACTTAACAGATAATAATGAAGAAACTCTTTGTGGTTCAGGTGTGTCAAAGAGATTTTAAAAATATAAACACAAAATTAACAGCACTAAAGCTATTGAGTATTAAGGTAAAGCTATATAATCACGTCCCAGAGTATCAGCACACTTATTCAATTCAGCTTTATTAGCACCATGGTACTAGTTGCTGAATGGCTCCCAGTTACTATTACATTACCAACATCAGATGTCAAAGATACAATTTTTTTAAGCAATATGCAAAAGGCTCTTTTTCCGCCCAGCAGTTCTTTAGATAAAATGTACAATAAACAGAGAGAAGAAAAAGTACTTGCTATTTAAGTTTCTAACACTTAATTACTATGTTATCTGTACTGTAAGAAATTCTTCAGTATTGTTGGCAACTGGAGCTGTGGAACAAGATGCAGTCTAGCTCTTCCTATGTAATTTCGGATACGTAGTCGGCAGAGCTGACACAGAGAGGATGGTGTGGCTGCAAACGATAAAGGAAGGAGTTTAATTGCACAACAATAAAAGCCAGGACTTTGTTTTACAGCAGTCTTGCACAATAATGGGATTTCTTTAAAAAAATGTTCACATTTTGCAAATTTGGCCTTTTTCTTCATTTCTTTTCCTTCATTGCCTTTCTGCCCTCAAAGATAAAGACTGGGGCTGCTAAAACCTTGTTCATAGTTAGGGTAATACTGAAAAAAGCAAGGTAAGGTCAGTGTTTTTAAATTAAAAGCCTGCTCCCAGAAAATAATTTTAAAAACTGCAAGGTTGCTGTTTTTTTAAATTCACAGAACAGATGACATACCTGCTACGGCACTACAAGCTGCCCTCCTGATGCATCACTGCATCAAGAATAAGCAGCCAAAATACCCCAAGCCCCTGGTTCATGTTCAGTGATCTTACTAGCTCATCATAATGCCTCTGCCCCCCGCTCCCTCAAAATGAACATTGCTGTTTCTCTGGACAATAAACCCATATTTGTTTCTTGCCAAGTAATTTTTTTTGACATCTTTGCCATGACTTTCAAAAATACTACTAGTCATGGTAAATTTGTGAAAACCTAAAGGTTTTAGAGGGGTTTTGTTGACAGCATTCAGACTACAGAGTTGTTTCCTTAAGTTCACCTCTAAAGAGATGCTCACAGTTATTGAAATAGTTTCTTTCTCTTGTAGCTTATTTTTACATTATACATAGGTCAGTCTGAACAAATCCAGTTCCCTTAGGAATATACTCTCTCCAAGGCAACAGACCTTTAAGAGTTTTGAGGGACTCTTGAGTGTCAACTCCTATTTCTCAGGTTCTTATAATTTCATAAAGAAAATTTAGAAAATGAAATGTTTTATACTTTTTGCCCACAATAAAAATAAAATCCTTTATATGCACTTAAAAATATATTTTTAAAGATATTTTGACAGCTGACCAAAATGAAATATATTTTTAATCTGAAATTTAAATACTTGGTTTCTTTTTAACAAGGTCTGTAACGGCCAATAAAAATGTAGCTTTAAATGTCAACTTGTGTAAACACCCAAAAAACATAAGATGATACTTGTTCAGCTTGTATAAATTTTGATGCTGCTTGGTCAACGGGCTCTATCTAGCCTGAGACTAAATATTCCTGAGTATTTTTACAGTTAAAAAGGAAATTACCTGAATGCTAATATATTCATTTAATAAAGCACAATGTAACATCTATAACATGGGTTGTTTGGGTTGTTGAGTTGGGGTTTTTTTGGGTGGGTTTAGGGGTTTTTTTTAAATAATACAAGTTGCAGTTGCAAAAACACACACATAAAACTTACCTTCATGGAAGAGCAGCAGTCTCTCCACTAAACTGCTAGGAGCAGCTAAATCAACAGGCCTCTCAAAATCTGAATTTTTGGCATTTATGTCTGCCCCAAATTCAAGGAGTAAGTTTACGATCTCTGTACTAGAATGCTGGGCAGCAGCATGGAGTGGAGTTTGCAAATGCTTTCCTTTCTGCACATTGGCACCTGGTGGGTAGATGCACATAAAGAGATGTCAGAAGAGATTAATTAAAATTGCCATTGAGTAAAAATGGAGCTAAAAAATAAACAAAAAAACCCCACTGTCCTAGAATGTCCTAGAATGCCACAGTGCATTTAGCCACTTTATTAATTCCATTGCATAGAACTACAGCTAACCATATCAATACAGGGTTTTTTATCCTATGGTTTATTACCTAAGTACAACCAGATAAAAAGAAAAATCAAATCAGGTCACATGAGCATCATTGTTGCCCTAATTATAAAAAAGTACTTTTTGTACACATTTACAAAAATTTGCACTACATAAAAATATACTTTCCTTATTTGAATATTTAGAAGAAATCACTAAACTGAGGTTTTGTATGTATATTTTTATAGGTACACCAACTCTAAAAGGCTGCTTTATAGTTTTTCATGTGTTGAAGCTGGCAAAGGGTTTGTAATAGACTCCCCATCCCATCCAACCTTTATCAAGGATTTATCTATAAATGACTTAATTTAAATTAAGGTAGGATACACAGTCAAGAAATCTAATAGGGAAAAAAAACCTGTAGTATTAATTCTCCCAATAATGGAATTCTAATTATTATACTTTTGTATTCAGAAATAATTGTTAACTTATTTTAAATTAAAATTGATTAATTTGCAGTAATGCATTCATATTCAAGAAAAAAAATCCATATAAGAGTTAAACCAAACCAGCCAGTATGAAAGAATTTCCCTTACAGGCAAGCTGATAGACCCCCTAAAACTGAGTTTGCCCCAACAGTTTTCTAGATTATTCTAGTAGAATAAAAACTCAGACTTCTTAAGAGAGATTTGCTGATCTTGTGAGACCAAAAATAAGCTTGTGTACCAACTTTACTCCCTGAACCAACACTTTTTGCCTTTTAAATTCCCTTTTGAGTAAAATAATTTATTAATGTCACAGGCCTAGCAATTAGATTTGAAGTCTGAACAAGTCACTGTTCTCAATAGTAACAATTTGAGAATACTCCTGCAGTACCATTTTCTTGCTTATTTCATTGTCTATTTGCTTTCCAACTTCTAATACATTCTTACAAACCAATAAAATATGAAAAAATTCAGACTTACTTAAGTAGTTACTTATGTTCTCAGTTTACATATCCTTTTCTAACAGAATATTCTGAAGAATGAAAGAATGTGGGACTACATTGCTAAAATAGTTCTGTTGAAATCTCAATGATCGCTACATAGAATTCCTTTTTCAAAGCTGATTTTTTATCCTTGTCTTTCCTACAGAAAATGAATAGCTACAAATCTGTAGTAGGTGCTAAAAATTTTGAACATCCATTCTTACTTGTCTTGCTTCCTTTTTTGGTCATACACTCACTATATCACCAAAAAAAGAAAGACACAGTAATTTATTGTAAGAAAACACACATCACAGCATAACATTTGAAGTAGAGCCCTGCAAGGAAGTGTTCTAGATCCAATGACTCAGCAGAGCTAACTTTAAAGGTGAGTAGAGTATGCTGATTTTACAGACTAGTAATATTTTTATTTAAATCATTACATACCTGCATAAAGAAGCTTTCGAATGCAATGGATCTGCTGTGAAACGCAAGCTACATACAGAGGTGTTCCTAAATGAGGAAGGTCTTGGTCAACATCTATACCCCAGGATATCAGTACCTCCAGACATTCACTGTGACCTGTCAGTACAAAGCACGACAGAGTTTGCTCAACTTCAGTAAGCTGTCTCAGACAAAACCTCACACATTTCTTAACCCTGTTACTGAGATATTGGTCAACTGCCCCATGTTTATTCAGCAGGTAATTTCTTACCTCTGCTGGCTGCTTCATGAGTTGGCGAAGGCAGACAGGACTCCCACTGAGCTTTGGCACCATACTGTAACAGGAGCTCAGCACATGCTGCGCTGCCTCTCGAACAGGCATTAAATAAAGGTGTCACTCCATCAATTGTTGTAGCATTTACCTAGAATACACATAATCTATTTAAGAACAGAATTGAAAGAAAGGTAGATTTTTAAACAGGAAATAGTTAGAAATTGCATTAAAACACACATGAAAAAAAGATACTAGTTAGAATAATAGCTCAACTGACCAGTTCCTGTCCTACTGTCTTCCTCATACCACACCCTTCATTTGAAATTAGTTTACTAATATTCTTGTTAAACTATGTTGAATAAACTAAAATACACCTGGAATACTAAAGAGCACACTTTGATATCTGGGGAGTAAATAATTTTCAAAAGTCATTGCACTGAGGTTGTTTCACTGAACTTTGGTAGTAACAGGTTAACAGGGACCTCCGCAGCTCTGGCAAGTCCATATTAAATTTGAGAATTATTGGCCATTTTTTTATGTAGTTTTAGGCTCCAGGTTGGAGTGATATTTCACAGGATGGAGGCAAAGCTAATAGCACAGGCTCAATGTTTTTATACCAACCTCATCACCGCACTGGTTAACTGAGTATTTCCAGTCTGAGAGAAGAAGGAGAGAAACTAGGCAACTTTGTGAGGGCTAATAATACTAAAGGAAGGAGCACAGGTATTAGGAGAGGGCTCCTTCCAGGACTATGGCCTATCATCTTTCATACACCCCCAAACCCACCAAACCAATTAAAAGTACTAAAAATAAATCAGGTGTGAAAATGAAATTTTTTACTATAGTTTTTTCTATAGTGTCTATAGTTTTCTATCTTTAGAATCCTTGTGCTAGGTAAAGTGGAGAGGCATTGTTTTTGGAAACATTTATGTATCTTTTTTTTTTTTTTCTGTTATAACATAGATATATTCTACATGGTTTTCAAACCTGAATTTGTAAGGACAGTAAATATTTGAATTACAAAGATCAGAGACTTGGGAAGGTATGCATTTGAACTCTGATGTCAGCAGGAATTGTAGTGAAAGTGATCTATAAAGTCCCATTTTTGTTTTGGGATAAAAGATAAGACAGTCTATGTCAGTACAGAAAAGAGGCAGTGCTTTTTTGTACTCAGACCAAAGAATTTTAAGTGCACACAGGTGTAGTGTGACAACAGACATTCTGATGATTAAAAGAACAGTCTCCTGAAAGCCACTCAAAGCAAAAAGGAATCCAGTAGAGGAGAGAAATGCATTCTATATTTTAAAAACACTTGATGAATACTGCTAACAGATGCTCCCCAATTCATTACTATGTCTCAGTGTCTGCCCATCACTGTCCTTTGCTAGCATTCAGATGGCAGCTTATTGTAAATAAATGAGATGAACACAACCAATAGGGTGAGTAGAGGGAAATATCAATCAAAAATAAAAATCAAGGAATATATCCTTCTCAGTTAAACCAAGGTTAGCATTGGACTTCATGCTAAAAAAAAAAAAACAAAAACCAAAGCCTTACATTTGCTCCTGCTTCAAGGAGGATTCTTGCGCATCCTACATGATCTCCCAGGCAGGCTTCATGAAGTGGAGTTACTTGGTCAATTGTTAGTGTGTCTACATTGTACCCCTAAAATAGATGTGAATGACATTTAAAGATCATACAAAAGCTAGTAAGAGTCAGTCCCTCACACTACTGTTCAAATGAATAGTTTAAAATATTCTAAATAAGAATATTTAAAATATTCTAAGGCTTAAAACAGAACTTGCAATAAGTAAATCCTCAATGAGCATAGAAAGAATCTTTCATCAATCAGTGTATATAACAGAATAAAAGTAAATTCTCAACTCTTCTTTTTTTTTCCTTTTTTTTTAATTAGAAATAGACATAGGACATAGAGGGTATAAAGAAGATTGAAACAGACTGTTGAGATGCACAGTGATAGGCAAAAGACAACAGACCCAAGTCGGAACATGCTAAATTCCAATTAGTTATATGGAAAAAATTTAACAGTGAAACCCCAGAACAGGGGTGCATCTGCGCTTTTGGTGGTCTTTGAAACAGAACAAGGACCTGAGTCTAAACTCTACAGTGACTCAATGATCCTCTGACTTAAGTTTTGAAATATCCAAAGCCATGAATTTTAGCAGGAAAACATTCATTGGATTGATAAAATCATCAAGCCCTTGAAGTTTTCTGCAGTTGATGTTGTTTGATTCTTAAGAACTAATAGGGATCTATAGTATAATTATGCAGTATTAAAATAGCTGATAGGACAGTACTGTAATATTGAAATTTAGCAGTTTGAGTCTCTCCCTTCACTATTAACAAAATACTATTTTTCTTAAATGACAACTATGCAAAACCCAGAATCTTTCAGTGATTCTTCTCATTACCTAGTATCTTCCTGACTAGCTCTATTTATTCAAAGGAGTTTAAAGCAGTGGAACTATAACAATTTATACCATGCAAGAGGGGAAGACTAACATACATTTAGTCACAATTTTCGTAATTTTTTTTTTGGGGGGGGAGACTTTAAAATATACAGAGGAAATATTTTAAATACTAACTTATATATTTTAATATGAAAAATTCCTATGTGTATTGCTTTGAAAAATTCAAGTGAAAAAAAGCAAAAAAAAGCATACTAAATTTGCATAAATAATCTATGCTGAGAAATTAAGTAACATTAAAAATAAATAACTGTAAGAACACAGCCTTTACCTGTGACAATAAAGTCTTGAGAGAAAGAAGACGTCCTTGACTGGCTGCCTCATGCAGAGGTGAGCGATCTGCCCAAGAACCTATATAAGAACAACATTTATTGAATAAACCATGTGAATTACAAAGGGTTGGGAATGCATAGAGCAAGGCAGAAAATATAATGCACAGAACGAAGTCAATTGTCCTATGACATTAATTTTTCCTCTTTAGTGACTATATTTCAAATTAGCAGTTTCTAAACAATAAAACCTGCTCTATTATTAACTGTAAACATCTCTAATAAATGATTATGAGGTACAGATAATAAAATATTGAGATACTGATTTCATTAATCTGACTTAATAAATTCATCAATTACTATATTTTCCACTTCTATTTTTGCACTGTTTATTTTTAATACAAGTAATATAACTTATTTTTGTAGCTGATATATAAGCTTATTTGAACTTAAACCAGACATAAACCTGCCCGAAGAAGTCATGAAGAAGCTGATGTATATGAAAATCAATGTGGAAATCCCTGTGTATGATGAGATTAATTTGCAGCTACTACACTATTGCAAGTAGAGAAATACAGTGAGAACCACACTAAAAAAATTACTATAGTAGAAATATGATATTAAGTCTAAGTTCTTATTCCATAAGCTATTAGGCCTAAAAACAATTAGATATGCTTACTGTAAAAGTTTGGCATTTATTTATCACCCTCAAAAAAGAAAGGAGAAAAACAAAACAGGAACACAACAACAACCCAGTCTTCACACACATACCCCCCGTAACTCCCAGCCTAGGTTCCAGAGTCATCCTGCAGCTCTTGGTGAGGGACCCGCCCTTTCCTCTAGAAGATTGGATACTGAGCAGGTTCCTTCTAGCCATTCAGGTTTGCAAGCATAGCTGATACCAATTCATTTAATGAATTTTGCAAATCGAGTTTTGACAGACTGTGCAAGGAAGAACCATCTTTAAAATGTATTATGAATTACCGATATTTTTTCCTGTAAGAAGAAAATCACTAAAACTGTAAAATACTCATACAATCACTCGTGTGAGTTATATCAAGCCCTCCAAAATCCCTGAAGAAACATAGAGAGAATTAACTAAACATGATGAACTGATAACACAGGCAGATGAATCTTCAATGTGTAAAGGTCCCTTTGTCCCTTGCAATGGACAGGAACTGCCTACAGAGCCAGTTACTGCATTTTAGTGACAAGGCAATTAACCTTAAATGAGAAGGCTGTTGCTCAATCACTGGCAATTATCAGTCCAAACTCTAAGATAACTACACACCAGAAACAGACCCTATTTCTGTTTCCTATTGGTCCCCTTCTGTTCACCAGCCTGTTTCAGAAAGTACACTTCTGGTTACTATAAACAACCCCCTGAAATCACATGAAGAATGACTAAAAAGATTAAAGCTGCTCAACCTGAAAAGAAATTAAGGGATAGTTAAAAACATGTGAAATAGCGCACAATAGGAAAATGTAGATAAAACCTCAATTTTCCTAGAGGTGTTAGGGAATGAAACTAAAACTTACAGAGAGATAAGGCTGCATCTTAGAGAACATATAACTGCTCTTTGTAACTCAGCACTACTGAACACTATTGAGATCAAAAACTTAGCAAAACAAAAGCACAGCTGAGTATTTATCATAAAAGTACATAAAGCTGATCACGGAAGTTAAAAAATATGAGACTAAGGCTTTATAAACCTGATTTTAAAAATGCAGGGAGATTTCTATTATGTCAGAGTATCCTGTATGTGTGAAGCTCCTTGTGGTCTTTGATCTGCCAGAGTAGATGGACCACTGGCAAGATCCAGTTTCCAATACTCTGTCAGAATTATTTGCACTAAGCTCTTATTGGAATGGGCTGCCCAGAGAGGTGGTGGATTCACCATCCCTGGAGATTTTTAAACGCAGATTAGACGTGGCACTGAGTGCCATGATCTAGTAAATGGACTGGATTTGGACCAAGGGTTGGACTCGATGATCTCGGAGGTCTTTTCCAACCCAATCGATTCTATGATTCTATGATTCTATGATTCTATGTGTGTGCACATATATACATATGCACACACATTGTTCCCTGTATTGTTCCCTGTATTTTCTACTTCAAGCTTATTTAATGTAATGTTTTGAAATTCTTATTGTTAGTCAGAATAACAGCTAAAAACACCCACACATAAAGTGATTGGGATTTTAAGGGTTATTATACCACAAAAAACAGAGTTCAGTAATATTAAAGTGACCCAATTTTGACAAAATAGAAGTATTTTCTCTGTCATCCCAAAAAGCTCAGATAGATTTATTCTACTGTAGTAGAATACACTGATGTGTATTCTTCTCATGTGTGTAATCACAATGAGTATTTTGATCAATGTTTTCCTTCTTCTGCAGTATTACTTGAATGAACACTCAACTTGTTCTAATTCAAATGAATTAGATCCACTAAGTTCTCCTGCTGGCAGCTGTGAAGAATTCCTCAAAAAAAAAAGATTTAAGTCTGTATTTAGAGGTTGCTTTTGGTATTTTGTCTTCCTGTCTCTATATACGAGAACATGTCTCTCTCGACAGTTTATCCTACTCAATGGGGGAAAAAAAAGCGTAACTAATTATATAGAAAAACATCTTATAAAATTGTGTCATAGAGTTTTTCTGTCCATTAAATACAATCACACTTCAGACATTTTTATAGCCATGTATAAATAGAACAAAGATGCAGGTAGGATCTGAAAACAACAATTTTTCACCTTTCTTTCCTTCACCTCCTTCATTCTTGGATTGATCAGAAGAAGTCTGTTAATTACTCCAATGACATTTGAGAATAAAATTATGCCAGATCCCATTGTAACCTCTGTTTGGCACATAGACCTACCTTATAAAACTATCTTCATGTAGAGATATCTGTCAGCCAGATGTATTTAATGGTAAATCCATTAAATACAAAATGCTTGTATCATCTCTTCTGCAAATAAAATCTATAAGCAGAAATATTTTGTGCCAACCAAGTTTGGAAAAAAAATTTACATTCCAACTGATTGGTTAGTATATATAGTAATTAATTATTAAATACTACAGGTGTAAGAATAAATATCACAAATAAACATCAAAGGTGTTTGCCTAGATTGCTGCCTTCTGCTAATCTACAAACTTACTATGTCTCTCACTTAGAAGGCATTAGCAAGAATATAAACAAGGACACTTTTTCATTCATCGGTGTCTGTAACAACAGTATTAGCAAACACAGGCTATTCCAAAATTGTTAATATATTAGTTCCCTACTGATGTTGTCTCTGACAGATGAAGAATACAAAGGATCTCTAAGCCACATTAGTTCCAAGTTCTCTGATGTATAGTTTACCAGGAGGCCAAATTATTACAAAGCATTATTGCTTTGTAACCATTAACAAGAAAGATAAAATATATTCACTGTATTAACAAGTGAAGTTAAAAAAAAAGTTACAAATCATCATACAATACCTAAATCTCCATCTCCCCATGGCACTTCCAGCCAATTGCAATTATAAATCCTACTCATTTCTTTCAATCTGGAAAATAAAAAAAAAAATAAAATAATAATAAAAAAAATCTGCTCTTGCTAGTTGGGCCATTCTTAATATACTCCAGCTATGTTCGGAAGGAGATCAGCAGCTCCCTGTAATATGAACTTTCACCCTTCAGTAAACATAGCTCCAAGATATGAGCGTGTACAAGTTGCCCATTTCTTTTCTTATGTTAAAGGACTGTGGCTGTTTTTGTTAATTTTTCACATTTCTTTTTTTATCATAACAACTTCTCAAAGTGCCAGTATCGGTGCATTTGCCTTCAAAGACAGATAACTGGAATTTCAACAAAAGAGAAACTCAGTTGATATGAATAAACTGCAGAAAAAACTCCCCCTTGCTAAACCTCATGTAAGGAGACAGTTTTATATCCTCAAAAATCAGTGTCACTACATAGATTTTTAAGGGAAGCACTGCCAAATGTATTTATGTTATTTTACTCATTACTCATATCTAGAGAAGAAATAATTTGAATAATACACATAATATAAAAGAATGATCTGAAATAATATTCTGAACATGTTTCAAATGCTGTTTGATCTGTATACTAAACCAGGGTTTTCTTTTAGTAGTTCACTATTGCCTCAAATATCTTCTAAAATATTCTTTGCTTGTTAAATTGGGATGTTGACAGCTATTCTCAGCAGTGAATACATAATTCTCAGTGAAAATGCTCAAAAATGGGGATTGGCAATTCTGACTTTGATCCATTTCTAAGTCATTAATGTTCTCTTTCTCACATATTCCTACAAAGTTCACTCCTTTATATCTGCCTACAATTATTAATAAGTCATTCTTGCAGTTGTAATCAGAGTAGTAAAATACTAACTAAAAATATTTTCACAAGAGTCATTACCTTCAGTCATGCCATCTTGTTGTGTTTATTTCTAAAAATTTGTTTTGTCTTCACAAACAAAACAAAACAAAACAAAACAAAACAAAACAGCCTGAGTCACTATAAAAGGTACATTAAAAGCTGGACTTTCAAAAGAAGAACTGTAATGAATGAAAGTCTTCTTAGTGACTTAATGGAGAGAATATTTATACCAGAGCTCAGCACTTAAGAAAATTACTGCTCTAAGGCTAAATAGATTGTGTCCCAGTCCTCAGAAGAAGCAGTATCATCAAAGAAGAATTGAAAACAGAAGCCTGACACAGCTCATTATTGGGAGATAAGAAACAGAGTATTTGGAAAGTGTTGTAGCTAATATTTATTTCTGCAAAACCAACAAATGCTATTTATTAAGATAAGCACTGTTACCTTTTATTTCTTAAGATGTATTCTGAGTCCTTCAGTTTGTGGCAACTGTTGCAACAGACAGGATCAATAACTACAGGAGAAAAACTCTGCAACATTATAGTCCCAAAATCAACTGAGTCACTTCACTCCAGTTGTTAAAAGTGCCTGATATTTTGTATATGTAATTAAGTTCTAACAGATTTTTACTGTGGTACTATAAAACTATCCATTTTTTTTAAGCCCTCATAGGATAAAGAAGAGTGTCAACTACTTAAC